AAGGATCACAAGTTTTCAGTTGGATTTACGTCCGGACTGTTTGGCGGTCTGTGGACCGTTTCGGGTGCATGCTGCTCCAAAGATTGTTTCGCCGTCCTTCTTGTGTGCTTCGGATGATCGTCTTGCATCTGGACACATGCCGGCCAAAAAGCTCTCGAAATATCCTCCCAATTTCTTCTGCCGTCGTCTCGCTGTTATTTCGAGTCCACCGACCGATCGCAATACCGTCCTCGGCCGTTAGCATACGAGGTCGGCCATCATCACCCCGATGCTCCACGGTGCCTCTCTCTTGGATCTCCGCCGTTATATAACTAACAGTACGGACGGGGATCTTCGATAGACGGGCGATTTAGGTAGCACAGCAATAACTCAGGTTCCAATAATATAAGATGACTGATCGGTTCGTCGACACAACGGTTAGCACTCAAATCATGCATCATTTTCAGCAGACTCAACAACACATTTCAGATCTGTCCTCATTGCTATAGATAGCCACTCTTTGACCTTCTAGAAATTTCTGGTAAAAAACGCTCGAAACTTCAAGAGATACAGGCCCTACTTCTGGAAAGTTTCTGTGTCTAATGGCAATTTCTTTGCACTCCACTGTATTTTTTATCATTTTGTGCTGCTCCACCAGCACCCTAACGAAAATGAAACGCACCCGTGCTCGCGCTTATCGTTGGCAATATTTATTTAAAAAAAGAATCCAAGCAATCAAATAGACGTCATCGGCTGGAAAGCGCGGAGTGGGTCCACTCGAAAGATTAGATGGGAAAAATAATTTCTGATTCTCTTGAGTGTTTCCTCGTCAGTCTGTGTCCATATCATACACGATGAAAGTCCTCGTTGCTACGCTTTTCATCGCCATTCCGGGTAATGCAACATTTCCTTCTCTCACAAATGAACTCACTTTGACGGCCCAGTTTGCTTCACCCAATGATGTTGTACAGTTTGGGTAAAAAAGGGGGCAGTTTACAACGATACACTTTACTATGCACTATATATTTTAATGCTGTTTGCGGCATTTGCAAGAGGAATAAATAAGCTTCAAAATGGCGTACTCACATTTGAAATATATTCAACAGTTTCAGAAATTCGGAAGCCGATATGAAGAAAAAATGACTGCATTGCCTCATACGCAGACTGCGTGCGACCTTCGAGCCGCCGCCTGTCTATCGCCTCTGCTACGAAGCAACGCAGTTCTTGTTCCGTGCTCGCATGAGCTCCCGAATGTCTAAAACTGTTGAAGATACTTGAAATGTAAGGACGCAATTTCAAAGCTTATTCGTTCCTCTCCAAATGCCACAAACAGCATGGAAATACGGGGTGGAGCAAAAGTAGGTGTCCAGTTAACTGTTTGATGACACAGAAGCATTCAATGAGATTAATGAAAATAAGGAACTGTGTCAGAAAGTGTGCAGAAGTGTCAAAGGACCGTTTCCAGAAATGTGTCAGCTGTGACGGCCAAACACCAATTTGAACAACTCCTAGAGTAGCCTCTAAATGTTTTGTGAATAAATAGATAAAAAGCTAAATGTATGCCTACTTTTACACCACACTGTATATGCAGTGAGTGCATCACTTGTGTTGTATATTGTCCTGATTTTTATTTATTTAAGAACTATAGTTCTTAAACAAATAAAGAAGCATAAGAACTATAGTTGTTATGTTTGGGGGTGGAGGATACGTTGGGGAAGGAACCGGAGACGTTGAGCTTGTGACCCGAATCGTGCAGGACTCCAACTCCCTCCGAAATTCCCACAAGCATCAACTCCCGATGTAACAGGAATCGGGTTGCATTCCAAAGCGAATGTCTTTTCGTGTCGATCGGTATGGCGGGGAAGGAGGAAGTGAAGACGACTTCGCGTTGGGAAAAAGAACCGGTGTGAGACGAGGAAACCAGGCCTCACCCGGGGGGGATGGAAGTCCGCAGTGTGTCTGCGACTCGCATCGCCAGCACTCGCAGGCGGATTCCACGAAATAAGCAATTAAGTCTCTGGCTCTGATACTCGGTCTCTCGGACTCGTCAGACTACGGTCGGTCCTTATCTCGAGAAGTCGGCTCATCATCATCGCCGAGTGCGTCGGTGAGCCGAATCACTCCCGTGCCCCCCGACATTCCTGCTTTCCCCGGTCGACGCATCGTAGCAGCGGCGTATATACAGCCGGGCAAATATGAAAGACCCGAGGTTCGGTCATTTTGAAGCTGCAGGCGAGTCATCTGAGAGTCGTTCGAACGAAGTAATTCCCAAAATCGGCGCCAGATGACGCTTAATTCGTCGTTGAAGCGAGTCACTCCTTGAACCTTCCGATCGAGCTTGCCTTACCTTTCGTACGCTTCCCGATCGTATCACTCATAGATCTTCGGGGACGATAGTGGAATTCCTGAATGCATTTTTCTCACGATGTGAACCACTTCGTGGATGCTGCAGACGATACCGGTCCGGAGGTTGGAGAGAGAATAGTTCGACTAGCCATTACACTCCATGGGGACTCGTCTTTCCGAAAGCTTCAATTCACTTTGGGCAATTTAAATTATCGCGCTAACTTCGATTTAGATCAGACTCCTCGAGGAAGGCCGAAGCACTGAGATAAGATGGAATGTAATTGGGTAAGGAAAAATCAATGCTTTATTCGCTTATCACAGAGGGAATGGGAATCGGAAATCACTCAAAGGAGCTAATCTTGGGAAGGCCCGGTTATGGCCCGGTGATCCACTCATGGCTCATGCACAAGTCAACTATAAGCCGGTAGGTAGACCGCCGAGTAATTTTTGCCTGAGGAAGAGAGGGGGGGGGGGGGGGGGGGGGAAAGTGAACCTCGGTCGGTGTACCTCTACCCTTTCAATCCCTATTTAGATCCATTCACGAGGATGGATGCCAAACTGAACCGCAATGGGGGAATACCAGGAATAAGTGCGTGAATAAATAAATAGCATTAATAATGGACTGAAGAGCCGCCTGAAGGAACGATGCTTTCAGAGAGTATTCAGGACATCACCAACCTCTGAATGCAATGAAGGAATCCCTGAATGAGGCGAACTCTAATGTTTTCCGAGAAGACTCTAAAAAAAAAAAAAACTCCCTTTCTCCAACGGACTGATGGACTTCAATTAAGAATAGGATCCGTAAAAAAAAGGAGAAATTTAAATTTACTGGGCGATGGAAAGCTCTTTTTATCAGAATTGCACGCCAACGCGAGAAAATATGGAAATTCGTTTTTGCTATCATACCGGCATACGCTTAATTAATTCCGTTCTTAAGACAACATTTTGAATATGCTCTATTATTGGAGTTTTCTCTACGATTTTCCTACAGTGTCCCTCGAGAAAAATGAGAAACGCAACTTTCCTGACAATACCATGAAATTGAGCAACGTTCGCGCGAGAGCAAAACTCCAAATTTTCGCAAGCGTGCAGCTTCCACGAGTTTCTCCTGATTTGGTGCAGTTCTTGGCTTCTACAGTCGATCAAAATAATGGAATTCAACCGGAAGCTCCCGTGTCGCAATCGATCGAAGCCCCACCAGCCATTCATATCGCGGTGATTGGTTGTCGTATGAATGTAATTCGATTCCATTCGACGATAAGGGTCATAATGTTCTCGTCCCTTTGTCGGCACGAGTGAGCGAGGGAACTCATTCGACAGAGATCATTTTACACCTTCGAGAGCCCTATAGCTTCTTGCGATCTGGGGACTCTTTTCCATCGCGGGATCTCTTTACCCCAGTGGATTTTTTTCCGGAAAGCTTGCCCTCCTGGAAGAACATTAATATCACGGTATCGCATTGACATGTCCTTCGGATTCGCTCATCACTCGAGTCGGTTTTCCTTGGATCTTGGGCCTGCAAGCGACGTTGGGAAGAAACATTACCATCGCCACATTATTTTCCATCAAGTTTCACGAGTCTTGGAAGTGGGTGTATACTAGGAGATACCGTAACTACAGAACAGAAGTTATGTGGACTCGCCTCCGAGTAGGGCTTGCCAGAACAGAAAGTCACCTTATTTATCCTTGCTCATTCATAATCACGATTTCAGATGTCGTGCTAAACAGTTTGGCAATATTCTCCTAGACTCTTAGCATCCTGTTTTTCTGCTTAAAAGAGTAATATTTTCCATGGAATCCGAAATGTCCTTGGATACCACGGCGTGACATGCACCAGGGGCCGTATTCTATTAAAATCTTAAACTTAGTTAAAGCAAATCGCTCAACCTCGGCCATGCATTTAAATGGGGCAAATACCAGCGAAGCAACTTGCTAAGAGGAAAATCGCACTTAAGAACGCAATAGAATACGGCCCCAGATTTCTTTGACTTAAACTAATCTGATCTCACAATTGTCCTCTATGGCAGAAGTTCTTAACCTTTTTTGCCCCTGCGAACCCCCCAGATACTTAAGTATTTAACACCCCCCCCCCCTGGTTATCAGAAACATTGGAACGCGTGGATTATGAATTATGTTTTTCGGGAGCTACCTTCAATTATAAATTAAATTTTCCATGGACCCTCCATGGACCCCCTGGACCTACCCCATGGACCCCAGGTTAAGAACCCCTGCTTTATGGGAATCCGTTTGACGGAGATAATCTTATTCCCATAAACGTCCATAATGAAATCAAATCAGTTTAAAGTTAAACAGATCTGGTGCACGTCACTCCATATCCAGGGAAGCATCCGCCTGAAACTTCCCTTCGGTCGCGAACTCCCCAACGTGCCCATGAGTGGCCACCTCGGAGGAAGCTGCAAAAGTGATGGCTTCCGTGAACCCACTGGGCGATATATGAGAAAAACCGCTCGCAGAATTTTGCAGCATCTGTACCCAACTTCCTTTCCCCATGTGGCTTTTCCGAATTTAAAAGTAATACATACCATAACCGAAAGTGCCGAATGATGCGATGAAATTTGCACTCATTGAACGTGGACGTAATTATGTTCCCTCGAGAGAGTACCTCGACGATAGTCGAACGACTACAATTCACCGTGCATCACACGATGTGACCGATGCGCCTTGTGACACATGCAGGGATCCTGGCCCTGGAGTGCAAGGACGGAGACGCATGGAGGGTGGGAAATTCCTGCAACTTCTATTTCCTCTGCCATCACAACGCCGCCTACGTCACAGCCTGCCCCCAACACACGTACTTCCACGCCGACATCAAGTCTTGCTCTCACAATCTGCCGCCAGAGGAGGAATGCCAACCCATCGTCAAAGGTTTCTGGCACGCAACTTCTCTCCGTATTTCTGTCTTTCGTAGGCATTAAATTGGAACATGGGAAAGGAGTGTTACTTCCATCGGGGTGGGGTCTAGGTTTATATTCCAGGACATTCGTGCTCGGTGACTCTCTTTTAAGTGCAATACTAAGTTGCACGGATGTGGTGCATGTCATCTGGTAAGTAGATGAAAAAAATTCTACCCTAAAACTTCTGGATTACGATGACAGCTGTGATCTAGCCAATAATCGTTTAACGAGTCTGATGGAAACAGCTGCAGTAACATTTCCTTCATTTGAAGCCATCTGCCGAGGCTATCTCCCCCTTTTTTTTTGCTTAAAGTCTGATCAGCGTATTACAATTTGGATTATGCTTGCACATTAGACTTGCAACTCAAGTGAAAAGAAACTCGATGCTTCGGATAGGAGAGAAGCAAGAGGAGGAAGGGGCAGAATCTGAGATGACATCTGAAGGGACATCCGAACCACCCCCGACGCCATCAGACTGGTTTGAAGTAAGAATCTGCGAATTTCATCGTTCATGTCCGACGCCATTCACCCATCCCTTTTCAGTAGTTTCATCCTTTTACTTCCATTTTTTTTATCATTTTTTTTTTTAGTGCCCCGAATTGAATGGACTGTTCTCCCATCCGTACAATTGCTCCGGGTACTTCCAATGCTCCAACGGCTTGGCCTACGAATTCCATTGCGAAGGCGGGCTTCACTTCGATCCTGCGACTGAAGAGTGTAACTGGCCAGACGAGCTCGAAGACCCCTGCGTTCCATCAACTACTGGTGAGAAAAAGGAAATAAATTATATAAAATTTGCAATTTGCAAAGTTTGCAATACCTGTGTCTCTTTGAGCGAATTGGAGTGACTCTGCCAAAGACAACTCGAGAATTTCTCTGAATTCTCTTGATGGCTACTCGTTAGGATGTCAGGGGAGAAATTCCATATGATTTTTTCTTATACAAAGAATACGCTGCCTCTGAGTTTCTTCATTGGGTGATTGGAGAAATATGAAGGGATTTGCTTCTCGTTGCCGTCCATCTGAAATCCTGAAATACAAGAAGGAAGGAGTCTTCTGACTTGACAGTTATCGAGAAGATCCGTAGAGAAAGAAAGTGTCATTTATACGAGGAAAATCGTGACTCGCCACTTTCTTTCGTGCTATACCTCAGCGGATCCTGTAGTAGAGATGTCAAAAATCAAAACTTATTCCTGGTATTCCCCCATTGCGGTTCAGTTTGGCATCCATCCTCGTGAATGGATCTAAATAGGGATTGAAAGGGTAGAGGTACACCGACCGAGGGCTGTCGTGGAGTTTCCTTAGGAACAAAAATTCCATTCCCTTCACGTCCGAACGATAAGATTATCATGGAAGGGAGACGTACTCCAGACTTTTAAATCTCTAGTGGGATTTGCGGGTAACAGCGTCGCAGTAGGTGATTGATGTTATTCTTGGGGATGCACCGCGAACAAAGTGCAACTTCCGGTCTTCTACGAGCCCAAAACTCACAATTCCTCTCTCTTTTATATCCTGCTCAAAAAAGGATCATTCTTTATTTTTAAGTTCTCGTTACAATAGGATGTCATCATGGATGCATGTGGAAAATTTGTCTCATTCTCAATATATGGGGATTCGTTGAGGGAAAAAATTGCTATCGGATTCTTGCTCGAGAAGGAATATTCATTTGATGAGTATGAATAAACATTTCCTGTTCTGCAACGAGTTCATAGTCTGATGTGTCGCACGGGCTTTTTCCCTTCTGTTCCTGGCATGAAACGGCAGAATCGATCCTGAGAGCGGGAATGCAAAATTCCCAGATTTTGCTGAAGCGGGTTCACCATCGCCGACAATTGATTCCTCCCCACCTTTCACTGGGTCACCGTCGCCCTCCAGTTGATAATCGTCACCTTCCACAGGATCATCGTCACCCTCCAGTTGATAATCGTCACCTTCCACAGGATCATCGTCACCCTCCAGTTGATAATCGTCACCTTCCACAGGATCATCGTCACCCTCCAGTTGATAATCGTCACCTTCCACAGGATCATCGTCGTTCTCCTGTTGATAAACGCCACCTTCCACAGGATCATCGTCCCCCTCCCCTTCTCCAGGTAGGTGCAACTAAGTGCAAACAGAAAAAGGTTCTGATTTCGCTGACTAGAATATTCAATCACGTACACTGGAAGTTCACGTTAAGGGACAACTTAGTGTGGAGTTTTGTTTGGTTAATTGGACAAATGCCCCAAGGTTCACCTGGTTATTTAGCTTCCAGGAAACCAACATTCACTGCGAAACATCGAGGAAATGAGCTAATTAGTGCCCACCGATTTACAAAGTTGGAAGGATAATTGCGTACAACCAAGACTTCTATCCTCAAAGCACTTCTTACAAGAACATTAATTTATGCTGCAGATTTCTTCCTGGACCTGAGGCATGATCGGCAAATCCCGACGCAACAGCATCGGCTCGAAATGTTTCCCGCTCGTCGCAATGCAGAGATTGAACCGGGTCCTGCGCGCATCCATCCTTTCAACTTTGTAACTCGGGGCAAAGTGATTGGCCCACTGGTAGCTCGATGCTTCCATGTACATGTGCGTAGCCTCGAAGCTATGAAGTTTTGAAGCTATGCTCTGAGAGTGCCTTGGGACGCTCTCCAGGCTTATGTGCAGAGGGCTCAATATTAAATAAGAATTCAATATTAAATGCGTTTAAGCACGAACTCCTATAGCGAGTAATAAGAGGATCGACGAAGTCGGTGTGCAAAAGACGACGTACACCCGTTAAGCAAGCGGACGAAGTAAAAATTCCTCGAAGCAAAAAGAAAAAAATTCTACGAATGAAGCATGACAAGACAGTTCAAATTACACCATGGTCACACGTTGGGTAGATTCCGAAGATGTTGGACGCGGCGCCGAGTCTTTTGAGGAGCGCCTTTAAAGCTCGGGAATCGAATGAAGTTTTCTTCCGGCGTGTGCCGTTCCATGAATCGCAGGAATGTAGAATATAGAAAGCATATTTTGCGGTACATCGGTATACGATATTCACGACACGCCCTGCATCGCTGATAAACGAACCCCTTGGAGACGAACCTCTGAACACCCTCATCTCGAGGAAAGAAAATTTGACGGAGCTCGTGTGACACGCGCGACAACGACGCACCATCGCAACCTCATCGTTTCTATTCGCTTTGTGAAAAATTAGATTCCTTTTTGCACGGATCGAGTCGAGGCATTTAACAATCGTCAACAGGTCCTTTGCAGGCCGCCTTACTTTCCCTATCGTGAAATTAGGACTTTAGGTGGATATCAAGTGATGAGAATTTCTCGTGACCGTCTGATTTCAGCACGAGGGCGAGGTCGCCAAGTGTTCCGGGAAGAACTGCGCCGAGACGGAGGCGGAAGTGAAGGTGGATCGCGTGCATCATCCACTTCCCTTCGCTCTTCATCTTCTGGTGAGGCTTCGGCCACTCCTCGTTTCTTGATGAGTCTCCATTTTTTAAATGCCGAGTTGGTGGATGGCTCGGTGGGGGAAGCGAAAACTGACGCGAGCCGGTAGACCGTCTGTGTAAATATTATTCCCTGTGATCGTGAGTTTCTGGATCTCGAAACATGTAAGAACTTGTGCGAAACGGATGGGCTATTTTTAGTGAGAAAAAATATATTCCTGAGTTCGTTCGATGATCCCGGTCGGAATCGCGACCACGAGGAAAGTAATTCCATTTCTATCTTCCGAAAGATTTCAGAGAGAAGCGGAGGCTTAGAGACGAAAAGCACGCTACATTCTTCATCTTCTTATAAATTTTCCGTCGAGAGCAATAATCTCGTATCCACTCCGACCGGCTCCTCGAAGGCCTTCCGGGCCATTAAGCCCTTGAAGAACTCGGAACGCGATCGAGAGGCTCCTGCAGCCGACTCTTTCCGCTCGTTCAGACTGACTAAAGGCATTTAATGCCTGGTGCTTTTACGTCGATGGGCTGTTGTCATGGGTTTACTCGATTCTTTAAAATTTTTTATTATTATTAATACAACCTTCCTAATTGGAATTTTAATATAAATGTTCGCCACAGCTGCGCTGGCTATCCGACGCAGTGGAGATGGCCGATAATTCATAAGTTTCCATTGGCACCAAAATTCACTTGTTTACAAAGCCAATTCCCTTCACCGAGCCTGGATATTCTTTCACGAAATGGAAATCTTCAGCTGAGTGTGGGCTCGAATTGTTGCATGAGTTCTCATTTTTACCGGCTGACATACGACATGTTTTAATTTAAATAGATGTCACATTTTATTTATACTCATGACGGCTTATGATAATGGTCTTATATAAATTCTCGAGTCTCTTTCGTAATGCTGATACTTTATTTATTTTTCAGGAAAGGGGTAGGATGAACCAGGATTACATGCTGCGAATCCAACAATAGTGAAGTCCCATAGCGAGAATTTACCCAAGATCATGCAAAACACGAATTTGGAATAAAGCGTCACGAACATCATCCCACGCCTGTCCTTTCCACTCCGACGTAAGGAACGCGTTCACGCCGCAATGCACTCGGTGCATCGGTGAGAAGGGGTGAGAAGGGGTTGGGCGAGAGGAGTCGCAATCGCGACAGTTAGCCATGATGGTGGGGATCGCGGAGATTTCCCCTGGCGATCGTCTCGGAAAATTTTTACGATTTCATGATTCACCCGTGATTCGCGGATTGAATCATGGGTGGCACCGATCGGAAGCAATCCTTGCATATTCCCCATCAGTTTAAGTACCGAAGCATCGATTCGCCAAAAGTCTCAAGCACCTCTTTTCCAGACCAAAAGTCTCATCTCCTTTTGCAACTTTCTTGACGAGGCAGATATGCAGATGAGATGAGAATGAGATGAAAAGAGCGTTTTTGGGTGGAACTGGTTCCACGCTCTTCTTAAATTGCCGCTTTGCCATATGCAGCGAGCCTTAAAAATTACTTCAGATAACCCAGACCCGCCAAATTGGATAAACCGAGCGCGAGTAATAAATGGGTTCATGCCTTATGAATTAAAGTAGCTGTACAGAACATTTCCACTTACTTATTATTAATTAGTATTCCTTTCGACACGGCTTCCCTCGTTCCATGCCACGAAACCCGCGAGAACCCTATGGAATTCGTCCCTGCAAAAAAACGCGGGAGACGAGGCAGAGGTACATTAAGAAGGCCGGATCACGCGAGGCGGCTGGACTTTCTCTCTTGGAATCCCGCCAAATTTGTCTCCAATGGGAGCTCTTGAAAATATGGACGGAGTTCTTTTGATGAAAAGGCCATTGTGCGGTTATGGGTGATTTGTCCTCTTGCCAAACACAACGGCGCGCTTTCATCCTCCCTTCCCTTCCCGTAAATCATACGTTGATAACCGGCTTTCTCTTCTCGGGTTGGCTCTGGAATAAGAGCGCTGAGCTGCAGTTCGATCCCGATTTTTTTCCCAGAGGGGGAGGGGGAAGGGGGGGAGGGGGGGGGGCTCGTCTTGATGGAGCTCGGGGCTGGGGTTGAAAACCTTGCATTTAAAGCTCCCAGAAATAATTGCAAAGAGGGACTCGCAGAATTTTGGCCGATATGACGTTTCCAAAGGGACCTTTTGAAGTTCTATCGAAGTTCTTGCAGTCCTCCCGAAGACCCAACTTCGGTCGAAGTACTTCAAGTTCTTCTCCTGCAAAAGTTTCAAGTTTTTTCTTCCAGCTGGATCTGTCCTGATCGCGAGGAGAGACTACTGATTCCCGGCAATATTATTATTCGGAGGAATGCAATGAAAGAATCACTTAATAGACAGATGGAGCAGGCGTTCCTCAGCGAAGGAAAAAGACCTCGAAAGAAAAAGACGCCAGTCGTCGTGAAACATCTTCAGTCAGTGTCTTCGTCACCTTCGTCGATGCCGACCGGAAGAATCGCAAAATCTCTCGCGAAACTCGACCGTATTCGTTGGAGCCACGATTCGCAGGTGACTCTTTTTAGAGTTGGTTGTGTATCCCATTCCCTCTCATCGGGAATTCCGTCTGGAGGCAACTAAACGGGAGAAAAATTGCCACTCCTGAGACCCAAAGAGCGCCTTCAGGTCTGTCAATATTACATGATCATCGAGACGACTCGGTCCATCCATAAATAATAATCCTCTGGGGACTATAGGGCATCTCCCACGTTCGGATGAAAAACAGGCCCATTTCCCGCACGAGAAATTTTGCCATCGTTTCAAACCACTTCACGCGAGCACGGTTGATCGTTTGAATGCTGGAGAGAAATTCTTTCCATCCGACGCATTTTCTCGTAGAAGGTACACTGAATTCGGGGCCTTTAATCTCGCTCTCCTCCGGCGAAAGATCGATTCCCGATGTGTGCATTAAAGTGGCCGCAGCAGGCGGCCTCTTTATCCGACGATTCCCAGTTTTTTCATGCATCCAAGGGCTTCCACGACGAATTCAAGAGATCGCAAAAAAAAACAACACCTCTCGATCTGGGAAGCGAAGCGCTGGCAAAAACACCTTCGCGATGGGCGTTCGTCGTGGAGACAATCCAATACTTCCTCTCCGAGAGGCACGTTCTCGCATCGAGTCGATCGCACGTCGAACCGCAGGAAACCAGACCGCCCCGGATGAAACGACGAAAGAAGTCTGCCGACGGAACAGCAACTTTAACGAGGGCAGAAGAGTACTTCGCCGCTCGCCAGCCGTCACATCCCCCGACGATAATGCAATTCGAGTCCAGCAGGCTCTTCCTCGCATTCTACGCGATGGAACGAGCCACTGCTCCGCAAAAACCACTCTTGCGTGGTTTCCATCTCCCTAATTGTAGAAATGAGCTCGTGAACGAAGTCTACGAGCGAGATTGGATCTTGCTGGCCCCCACCTTGGAATGCCCGAGAAAAACTATTACCCATCTCGAAACTTTTTTCTTGGCGGAGTGCTGGCTGATACGATGACTCGGTCTCAGACTTTTCCGCTGTGATGAGTGGCAGTCCCTGCTCGCACTGCATCTATTTTTGATGACTTCTGCCCGGCTGAGAGACATGAACTCAGTGACTGTGACCCGCATGAGAAGCATGCATAATAAATAAATATACCACATCGGCAACCTCCAAATGGGTCGTTCTCACGAGTCGAAGTTATTGGAGTCCTCGAGGCCACGAATTCCACAGCGGGGCTGTCGCTTCGTTTTGGGGTTCTCCGACCTCTTAAAGTTTTGTAATAAATGCCACGCGTTTGTTGGGAGCAGCTGTGAAGCTTCCGCTCGGCAGTCCACCTCATAAATGGAAGAACAGGGAAAATCCTTCCCATCCCTGACGAAAAACGTGATCCTCTGCGAGAGAGACAGGTTTTCGTGATCGAGGACTTTCCGAGCTGCGTGACCGGTGTCAGCGGACGGCTCCATCCGGTCGTCATCGAGGCTGCATTTATTGCTGTCTCGCACCGAGCGGGTTTCCTTTCTCATCGGTCCTGGCTTCGGGATTGTCGATCATGGCTTCGGGATCGTCGGTTATGGCTTCGGGATTGCCTCGTGCACTTGCTTTTTGCGCATTTCGTTTCAGAGCTTTCAAAGAAAAAAGAAATTTCAATGAATGGAAATGAGATGCATTGACGACACTCGCATGAGTCTCGCGGTGGGTTCAAGATGAGAGAAATTTGAGTCTGATGGATCATATCAGCTTATTTCGTGCGAGGTAAAAGTTCTGGACTAGATATTGCTATTAATTAATGCTCTACAGCAATTCTCCCCGAGAGAATCAAATACTCAGGAATCTCCCCGACGCTGGCACGAGGAAATAAAGCAGTAGTCGAATTTCAATAATTCTCAATTCATTTCAAATCTCTAAGTTTCGAAGTCTTCATTTGGAGTCCATTTCTGGAGGCAACGGAGAAAAAAACCCAGAGTAAATCGAAGAATCGCAAAGATGCAGAAGATCCCATCACCTGCAAAGCTCACGGCTGAGCTTTTTCCCAAGGGAAAACAATTAAAGAACATATAAGGAACATTTTAAGCGCCACGATGATGAAAGCGACTGATAGATGTCCCGCGAGATGACGTCATCATTCGCTTCGCCTTCAAATCGCATTCCTTCTGTAAATTTCTACTGGGATCAAGTCATAATCGCGTCTCCTGCAATTTCGGTGTTGATCTTGACGATTGCTACTAATAGATTTAGACAGCATCAGATGGCGCATTCTTTGTGCTGATAATTCTGAAAGACAAACATTAAAGGGATTGGAGCAAGAGGGGCTGTGCCCCTTGCCCCCTTTGCCCCCTTGCTCCCCTTGCTTTCCCTTTCCCTTTCCCCCCCGCCCCATTAAATCCTCCTTACTCTTATCCAATTCATCATCGCGAGACAAGGTGATAAGCAGTTATTCAAAGAAATTGAATGTTCAAAATGCACCTGAGCCCGTGGTGAAAGAAGGCCCTGCTGGTTGCATATCCCCGATGGGGCAAAAATGCAATTTTGGAAAGAGACAAGAATCGAAACAAGAAGCTGAGAGTCACGGCTTATAGTGAAAAGGTGAGCAACGTTCTTCCTTCTTAAGTTTCAAAATATGAGGAGTTCCTTCTCATCTATAAATTTTTTAAATTGTATTGTCGACAATATCATCTAGGCTGCTTCGAACTTCAAATTTTCTTCTTTCAACTTACCTTTCCTTGGTTTAGGTCAACTTTTACCCAAACAAATAGCCAATTAATCACCACAGTGAGCTTGCTTTAACATTTCGATCGCCGTGGGAAATGCTTTGTTTGATTGCAGAAGCTAAAACCAACCAAAACTTTCAGGCTCGACTGGGACATATTATTATCATAATTATCTGGCATTCCCATAGGTATTATGGGGAAATGCCAGGTCGGTCTGTCGCTTTTTTCTTCTTTTTCCCCTTTTTTTAAATTTCGTCTGTCCAGTAACCATACCACCATAGCGGTAGTTAGTAGTTAGCAACCATAGCGACCCGACAACACGACCCAATGCGCACGCGCAGCTTTCAGCCTGGGTCGGGGTGCCCGTCTTCCACGAAAACATCCACTTTCTTTCCAGCCCTGGCGGTTGACGGATCCACAGTAGATAATGGAGGAGAGTGGCTGCTCCAGGCCGCGTAGACAGGGTTGCTAGGCGTACGCGTGAAGTGCCGCTTTGGCATCCTACACTTCATAGTGTCTTCCCATCTCCACGCGATGCGGACGCGCGGACCATCGAGAACATGTCTAGTTGTCCAGGTCCTTTTCATATAGGCCTACGCCGAACCAATGACAGCTATTATTTATTTCAAGACTGGATGGTTATGATGCGGTGAATATATATAATATATCCAGTGGTACAGGACCCGGGGGAATGTCAGATCTGTACCTGGGCTGGTACTCTCTACTGTAGTTTAATTCGTAGAGTCCGTGAGATGCGAGTGCCGATGACGATCGAAATGATTCATATCAAGTTTCGTATTTTCTCTCGCTAGCTTAAAATTGAAGTTTAGTCAGTCTGAAGGGAATGGAATCCTCCCTGCATTTTTCATGTCGATTTTTTCTTTTTAAAGTAATCCTTTTAGTAAGTAATCCTTTCGTAGATGAACCTAGATTTTTCCCCCAAAGGGCTGATAAGAAGATTTCAGTCTTTGCACAGCGCAAGTTTCATGAAAAGTAAATAACAGAGATGCGAAGGTTATTGGCCATATTTTGCAGTTGAATTTATTGAGAAGTTGATGGAATGAGAACTTTTTAAAATTATTCATTACCCTGAACTCAGAAACTCGGATGACTCTTTTTTGCGTTGATTGCAGTGAACATGGGACTTTTCTTAACGCGCAAAAATGTCTACCGTAGATAGTGTTGCCCAACATGTTGCAGAAGTGTAGAGACGAACGCGATGGGGATTTAGTCCGGAGGCAGTGGAAAGATGGTATCGAATTGCAATTAACTGCCTATTCACTCTAGCAATTGACCAAATTATCCTAGAATGAAATTCCCGTCTCTGTCGTTCCTTCACTTCCGAAGCATTTGTGGCAGACGGCCGAAATTTACAAAAAGGATTGGAGACTCGCCATTTTTATATCAACAAAAAATTATTTTCGTCAGAATAGCTAAATTAATTTTTCTCTACATGAAGTATTTAAAAATTGTTATTACATTAAATTGTCAATAACTTAAGAACTTAAGAGCATGGACAATGCTCTGCTTTTCAAAGTCGAAATTTTTTTTTTGCTGAACATTTATCGACTCTCGAACGGCCTTCCAAGTAGCACAAAGGTAGCAAGCCATAGGCGGTCCAGGCGCTACACTGGGGGATTTCTGGCGGAGGCGGTAACGTGGTGGCAAGTGGAACATGCAGTAGATGGCCCGCTACCAAGTGTAGGTGGCAGGCGACAAGAGGCCGTATTCTATTATGCTCTTAAGTGCAATTATCCTCTTAGCATGGTGTTCTTCCAAAATGTAGCTGGTATTCTCCCCATAACGTGTTACATGACGTGATCCAGGTGCAGTACCAAGAGCCCTCACTAGATGGTAACCATGTTCCCTGCAACCTTCAAATGCAATTTAGGATCTGTCTTCTTGATTTAGCAAAAGTGTTTCTTCCCCTCTTTCCTCTTTTTATTGCGTAAGTTATGAGCAGATATGAGGGAAGCGTCGGATTAAGATGTTTTGATTTGCAATATATGACTCAGGGAAATATTAAAGTTGAAGTTGAGTTTGGGAATACAGAAGTGTACGGGAGTATGGAAAGGTAAAGTGAGCGACCTTTATTTAATGACCTTGTGTATCTTTTAATATATCACTCCCAGTCTTTCATTGATTATCTCAGGGTTCCGTGCTGGATGTGGAAGAGGAGAGCTGTGATTGCAGAGCATGACAGTTGTTTCTTCCAAGCAAATAAGAGCTCCCAAGTTCTGGAGGCGAATCGGGTAGTCATGGGTGCATAAGTTTCTTGCCAGCTGGTGGTCCACCACCTTCGAGTCACTTAGGCCCTCTTGTGTGGCAGTCAGATAAAAATATGAATTCGATAATAATAATAAAAAACATAAGTTCTGAACGGCGTAGTAAAAGCACCTTACTGAAATAACCATCAATCACAATGCACCTTACAACCATAAGGATTCTGGATTCTGTCCTTCTGCAAACAAATATATAAAGGAGCTGATGTAGAACTCCGACATTCTTCAACAAAGAAGTTTCCACAAGCCATGTCTTAGATATATTATACCTGTGAGATAGTCGCAGAAAAAGGTTCGAAATGGGAAAACTAAGATGAGAAATGCGGCAAACCTGTGTGCTGCTTCCTGCTGCCAAGGACAGGATGGCCGCGCTTTCACGTGACTCTTGTTGTTGATTGTAATCGTTTTTTTTGTTCCTCGGCCACTGTGCCGTTTGTCTTTTGTTATCATGGGTCATTTAAGAGCAGTTAAATGATCAGGAAGATGGTCGTCTTATCGAGTGAAAATGATGAGCCTAGGTCCAGGTGCAGCCCGACCGTGAAAGATCTTACGGAGCTGTCTGTTCTCACTGAGGAATCTGGTAAGCTGCAATAACTATTGATAGACTCACCCCAAACTTGGACTAGGAGTGAAGCGTTTTTCATTATACAGCGGCCGTGGGGCAACTGAATTAAGCCAATCATCAGATCGCAGTACTCACGTGTATGCAACAGGCCTAGACGTAAACGTTGATGCAATGGCAAGCGGTATCAAATGCAATCCTTCAAGCACAATTTGCCTAACGTTATTTTTTTTCGGGACTCTCTGGGAGCAGGCCCTTTTATATATTACATCCATCCATAGGACTTTGTAAATGCTAAAATCTCAGCTGAATTGAGTGCAAAAGAAGAGGGCGATAGGAATTCATATGACAACGGTCGATATTGACGCCCGAGTCATGAGCAATTGAGCTGTCGAATCTTGCAGTTAAAGGAGATGCATGCATTAAAGATATAAAGAGAATAGTAGCTATGGCACTGGGTATAGCTCAATACAGGGCATCCCTGAATATAGCCATTGTCAAAAGGAAAATCCATAAATTCAGTATCATGTGAACTTTTTTAGTTGATCACTCCAAAGCCTATTATGACCAGGTTCTTACATTTGCTAGCACCTGTTTTTGTGCCAAAGCCTTCCAAGTCATGTGCACTGGGATTCTGTTGGTTGTCTCAGACCAACCAAAACATGATGACATTGTTACATTTGATTGGGTCTGCTGTAATTTAAAAAAAAATATGCATCTCGATTTTCATTAGATGCCTAAAAAAATCAAATGGATTCATATGGGTGCCCAAGACGTGAGTAAGTCTATAGATACGTATGGTTTCTCTTCCTTGTTCAGCCCTGAAGCACCTGAGTGAGCGATATGAGGAGGAGTGTGTGTACACATGGGCTGGGCCAACTCTAGTGTCCTTGAACCCTTGCAAGCAAGTTCCTCGTCTATACAAGAAGGAATTCATGGAAGTAAGAAATCATTATATTTGATTTTCTAATTATTTAAAAATATATTATGGTTATTGATTAGAACCCTTTGTCTACTAGCATTCTAAAATGGAGATGGTGGAAAATTTTGCCCTCATCTTGTAGCAGATGCTTTGAGTATGTAAGCATGGCACCCATGGCACCCATTCTCCTAGTCTGTCTCTTGCACCAGAGTGAAATCTTGTAAATATTCCTGTAAATTGGGTTTCACTGACAATTTCTTGGGATGACCTGCAATTTAGGGGGCCCAGAATGGCAGTTGAAACACTCCAATGCATATCATCCAGGTGGAGACCTTGACTGAGTCTGATTTTGCTTAAAATCAGTGGATATGTAATGGGAATCATTTTAAGAAACAATTTTTTTATAAGTTCTTGATAACTTGCACCATATTCCAAAGACATGTCTTTAACTATTACCTGCTTTTGGTTATGAGCAAAATTGTTTTGGCAATAGCTTTCATCCAGATGGTTAGAGATGCTTTATCTGGTGTCACCTTAACCCTATCACTATGACCTGGGGTCCCAGCAGACCCCAGCCCTGTTTTTATTCTGTTCTGCAAAAAAATCCACTTTACTCTAGGTCAGGATTTTTTATGACAGCTCTTGCTAGTTTGTTTCAAAGACAGTGGTATTGCATATTGAAAAAATAGGCCCAGGCAGACAAACCTCATGTCACAGTGATGGAATTGATTGTAAAAGTGCTCTCTTCCCAATATTGCAGCAAAATTACCTCAGGGAAATGCAAAAAAAAAACTCTTAACCCAACAATTTTATCAGCTTGATGGTTGAACTTTCTAATTATTCCAAACTCTAAAATCTTGGGGCAAGTTAAAACTAAAATAGTTTATGGGTAATTTTCATGAAAGTGTTGAGTAACTATTACTGATGGATTTAAAACAGAAGTACTATATGAATTTCTCATAGAGAGTATATAAAAAAATTGAAATAGATATTAATACAATGTATTCTTTAGTAATGAAGGTGATTTGTTATTTGATGATATAAAAAACAAAACAAATTTGAGGGGATGATATTAGGCCTGTGGATCATGTTTATGCTGATTTTCAACTTAATATCAAAACTTGGGGGTTTTGTAATGCCCTGTAATGAAATGGAAATATGCATGAAAATGAAGCTGCAAGCATATTATGCTGGCCTCTTGCTATTGTAAAATGTGAAAATATAAGTACTGCTGTAAGGAAAGCAAGTTTGTTGAGGAATTCTTTATGGAGTATTGTAAGACAGTTTATTTTCTACACCAAATCAAGGCATCCTTGCAGCTCATTTATTTCATATAGAGTTATAAGTTCAAAGTCTATTTTCATTCATTTTTGTGGACATGAGATTCTTATGTTGCTTTGTACATTTTAATGTGTTTAACGAGAGTCTTCCTTAGATACAGATTAGCAAGTGTCATGGAATTGTCTAAGCAACACACCTGGATGGTTCAGAATTGCTTTCTTATCATTTTTCATACTTGGTCATCTTTGATGGTTCCTGTGTTCTACTGTTGGATTGATTCCAGGTAATTTGTACATCAGATCCACATGTTTGGTCTATGGCCAAACTTGCTTTCACCCATGTGGGGATGGAAACAAAAGACCAGGCTATTGTCATCAGTGGGGAGAGTGGTGCTGGCAAGGTAAGTGCATATTTACAGAGCAGATGAATGGAGAGGATTTTTCATAATTCCTCATTTTTTATGCTCTTACATTCATTGAGAGAATGAAAAAAATTTTCACTTACACTTAAAAAAATTACACTATTCTTTGCAATTCTTGAATGCTGCTATGTTTATTGTTTTCATATCATTGCCTCTTGAAATTTTTTCTCAAATGTGAATGCCCAATGTGAAAATTTTAAGTTTTAGTTGGATCCCTCCCAAACTGCCTAGAAAGCTTTGATTGGCCAGTATTATTTGCCCTCTGAAACATCTTTCATGCAAGGTTGACACAAAAAAAAAAGAATCCATTGAAAGCTGATGTGTAGAGCTAGAATCTATTGAAGACCAATGGAATTGATTACTCTATCTCCTTGACAAAGCTGTGAATAATGATTCACCCTATGGCCTTGGACAAGTTCAAACACGGCTGTCAAACATCATAACAACAAGTCAATAATTATTTCCTAAATTTGTTGGGCTACCTGAAGATTTTTTTAGTACAGCTCCATCACAGTATCATAGCGTTTCAATCAAGCCATTCTGTTGCCATTTTTTTGGGTCCTTGAAGGCTGGTGTTTTCCAATGCCTGGTATGAGGAACTGGCAGTTACATGAAATCTACATGGAGCATAATTTTGCTTGAATATAAATTGTCTGCCTCATATTGCCTGTGTTGCTTTCCAAAAATTTTAAGAAAAGTTTACTAAAAGACCACCATCCAGAATATATGAGATCTGATAGTGAAGATTGTTCAAGCTTGGATTGCTCTCTCCCAGCAATTTTGAGATGAAGCAGTTGCAGTAACATTTGGTAGCAGTTTTTGAAAACAATAGAGGACCTATTCTTAGCACTACTAGAAAAGTCTATGCTAAGAAATGAAGCATTCAGATAAGTTCTGGTTCTCCCCTAAGGAAAAATTATTTATGCGCCAAGCTTAGTTATTTGTTTTTGGCTCATATTGTATTTCATCAAAATGATATGATTGATATGAGAAAACAGAGGGAATAAAAAAAAATATGTATGGTCTCTTAGTTTCAGTACCTGCAAATTCACTCCTTAGCCATTAGCATCTTCATAGCCATTATCTGAATGCCCAATTTTCTTATGTGCTCAATTGTTGGCATTGTGAAACTCAGATGGTTTTGAAAATATCGAACATTTGTCTCATGGGATTTCTTGAAGTGACATGAAAGTTTTTTCTGCATTTTCTTCATTGCAGACATCCTCAACTCGATATATCCTCGAGTGGGTAGCTCACATTTGTAGATCCAAGAATGGAACTTTCTCAGTGAAGAAACTGGCTGATGTTCTTGAGAGCTCCAATCCAGTCCTAGAAGCATTTGGGAATGCACACACCTTGCACAATCATAACAGCAGTCGCTTTGGGAAATTCATACAGCTCATGTATGAAACAGCTGGTTGCAGTGGTGAGGTCCTGCTGAACCATGCTCGGATTTCCACTTATCTTCTTGAGAAGACACGAGTTGCATCACAGCCACCCCGAGAGAGGAATTTTCACATTTTCTATCAGGTAATCCAAGTTCCAGTTATAGAAGATCATATATTGACCCTGGATCACTGTGTCTTCCAGAATAAAATTCAAATAGTCAATATTAATTATTTAAAATCATGATTGGAAAGAATTGCAACCATGCAAGCATGGCAAAGGGGGAGAATGTCCTATGTTCTACATGTGCATGTGATTTTTGCTTCAAGTTACGATCATCAATAAGCAAATCACATTTTCCAAATCAAAACACAAATTCATTTGATTTTTCTAAAATCCAAGTCATATTTCTGGATGCAATTTAAACAAGTTGATGAACTAAATCAGAAACTGCTATATAAAATTGAATTAATCATTATAAATCTAAAGGATTTGATCTTACCCATCTCTGTTTATCAATCAGACCTGCAGTATTTCCTTCTGTTTAGTTGCAATAGGCACAAAAGAAGAATAAAGAGTTGGCATCTTTAATTTTTCCCTCTTCATATTTAAACTTTTTCATGTGCTATAGGTTTAGTTTCTCTTTACAAGTAAAGCCTCTATCCTGTAGATGATGGCTGGTTTGGCAATGGAAGAGCTAGAAAGATTTGGGCTTGAACCACAGCAGGTGCACCGCATTCTCCCTTGTACCATTCGACCATCAGATGCAACTGCTTTCCACAACACCTGTTCTGCCCTTCACAAAATGGGCATGACACCTGAGACACTCTGCTGCTTGTTGAAAATCCTGGCTGGGATTCTTCATCTTGGAGACATACACTTCAAGAAGGACGGAGTATCAGTCAGCATTGATAAGGGTGGTATGGAGTAGCAACTGGTACATTCACATGCACTGAAACAGGATTCCCAAGGCTAGGAAAAGTTAAGAAAATAGAAACCAAGGGAAAAATGCAGGGAAATTCCCTATATTTCTTTGAAGTCAGAAAACTGGGGGTCTGTCCATGCCAAGTGGTCCAAAGGTTCATAGTAGGAAATTTCTCTAAATTTGCCAATATTACATTCTGTGCAAAAGTTCATTATCTATTTTCCCAGAAGGTAAAAATGCATTAAAACTTTGTCTTTAAAAACGAAAGAATTAGTTATTGTTAATATGTATTATCTGTTGATGATCTCTCATGAAATTCATGGATATGATGGAAATGTATATCTGGAGAGACTGAATTAGACTAGTGGAAGAGATACCATCGTGGACTCTATGCACAGTGATATTTTAAAATTTGAATATTATAAAAAGCCCATTAAAAGATAAATACTGACTTATTGATTTCAAATAAACTTTCAGAAAATGTTACATCTGACATGGTCACAAAATAGCCTTGCTTTCTTTTCTGAACCCTGTAATAATGGGGTGACTTATACTATTTTCAGGCTTTCATTAAGTCTATAGATTGAACTTAAAACTAAATTCAAAGGTTCTGCTATATGACAGAAATGTGATGGTTGGAGCAAGTGACTTTAACCTGAGGTTTCATTAAATGCCATGCCTGATATTTTCTTTGCATACAGATACACATCTAACAAAAGAGAGTATACAAGAATATAACTTGTGGAATTTTGAGTCACCCCCTATGGCTAATTGTTGTAGCCTTTATGTGTTGATTTGTCATTTATAATTAGGTAATACATTTGTATATTTAATATATCACTCCAGATGTCACATCTGACACATTTGACTGGCCCTTGGTCTAAATCATAAAATAAAGCATCAGCAGTTACTCATGAAGGATTTGGAATGAGCTGGTAATTGTGTGGGGAAGGCAGTGTGTGAAAACCTTTTGCTTGGAAAATTATCTCCAAGAGGACTCATTCTCAAATTTTTGTGGGAATCCTGTCAAAATAAGACTGACTAACTACATGAAATTTAATGTTTGTTATCCAGCCTCTCTACATTCCCTTAATTGGGCATGTCATCTCTTGGGCTTTGGGAAGAAGAACTTGGTTCTTCGACTTACATCTGCAACATTTGTGGCTGGTGCTAGTGGCACTCACCGCCGGGCAAGCATTCTCTGCCATCCATTTGAGGATATGGACCAAGCCATGTCTCGTCGTGATTGCCTCCTGCGAGTCATTTATCAGGCTGTCTTTCACTGGATTGTTGCTTTCATCAATTCTATGTTGTCATCATCTGATATCCAGAACATCTATAAGACATTTGGTGAATTGAATTCTTTCTCAAATGGTCGCTTTTAAGCAGTTGTTTGATGAACAGTTCCATCTGATTGTTCATGTCTTTAAGAATTTGTTAATATAAAATTATATGTATCAAGAGCATTCAATTCATAGAATGAAGGTTACTCATTTCACTGCTTTCTTATGAAATCTTGCAAAATAATGATAAGAGTACTGATGAATTTTCAGTAAAGTAGTTTGTTTCTCCTGCCTTCCCTCTTATTTGGAACTATTGACTCTGAATATATTGAAAAAGTGCAATGAAATTCATGTATCACTAAGTGCAGAAAATATCACTATTGCTGCAGTAAGTCCATCTGAATATAAAAAATATGAAGGAAAGTAAGGACAAGGTAGGGACAGAGTCTTGCAAATGATGTCATCTGTCCCCCCAGGGGCCTATTCCACAAAAGATTTACAAGTTACAAGTAGTTGCAAGGGTCATGTCTTCTATTTCAACTCTTCTAGTGGGTCCCACTGACACTTGACGCGATCAAGGCATGACCCTTGCAACTACTTGTAACTTGTAGTTTGTAAATTCTAAGTCTTCTGTGGAATAGGCCCCTGGTATTTCTAAAAGAATGCCATTTTCTTTTGATTTCCTGTAGTTCCTGCCATTTAGATCTGTTCTTGGTGGAACAATAATATGTCTAATGTATGAATGTAGAGTGGGTGAAAGCTAAGGAAGTCATGATGTCAAATGGGGCTCTTACCTTGCAGAATTTTCTTGGTATTGTGCAACAGCCTGGATGCATGATTCATATGATACCTCTGAACCCCTTTGACTTCCTCTTTCCTTATTGTCTTTGTAACATGTGATCAAGTGGTTGCTTCATCTGATGGAATCAGCAGACTCAGGTCCTTCCCATGCTCATGAATCCACTGAATATTGGATGATTTCCTGCTTATCACAGGCATTCTGGATATATATGGCTTTGAATGGCTGGAGAGGAACAGCTTGGAGCAACTATGCATCAATTATGCTAATGAGAGGCTTCAGCATCTATTTGCCACTGGATTCCTAGAAGAAACTAGGAAGATTCTGTCACAAGAAGGGATAGGACAGTTGACGGATGAGTCCTTCACAACAGAAAAGTCTTTGTCTTGTTTGGACATCCTGCATGGACCCAAATCTGTGATGGGGATACTTAATGAGGTGTGTTGAGTATTTGCTATTATTTATATTCTCTACTACTCTGTGTCTCAAAATAAAGGTGTCTTGTTTTTAAAAAAAATCGCCATCTAATATTTGAGCCTCAGGTAGGAAGGGTTTGAGCCTCACAATACACTTGGTGACTCAGATGAATGAGAAAGATTTCTGATTAGTTTAAAAAATCTCATCCAGTGCTTCAAATACAATAACTTCTTAATGTTTAAGCATTGAAAATCACAGTGAACATGTAATTTGGACATGGGGATTTGGTGTCTTCTAACATGGCTGGGAGCCAACCATAGGCAATCTCTAAAGGCTTGGTTTTTCATCAAATTCTCTCTTCATATTCAAAAGATACAGCTGCTTTTTGTTTTTTACATTCAAAGGACCCATTTTATTTATTTGGTCAGGTGCTTATCCTCTTCAATGAATCCCTTGGTACTAATTTGAAAATGATCCACAATGTGACAAATACTACAAATGGAGAGTTAAGGTTGATGCCTGCAAGACAGCATGAATTATTGAAATTGTTTGAATTATTGAAACAGTGACTCAGCTGTTCTTTTCACTTTCTTTATTTTTATCATGATAGCATGTAAAATATATTTTAAGAATGAGTAACTTCTTTACTGAGAATGCCTACAACCTGTGCTCAGTTTTTTTGAAGCTTGACTATGTACTGTCCCTGGTGAGGAGCTGTGTACAGATAGCTTCAAACTGGCACACAATACTTCAATGTTGAAAAGTTACTGCATTTGAAGCACTGGATATAGTTTTTAAAACTTTTGACTCACTTGATATGGAACAGACATTTAACAAATACTGGTGCCATTTTGTAATGTGGCATGTAGCCTCAACTGCAGTCTTGCACTTTCTCAAAGGATGAATATTGATTGAAGCATGTTCATCAATAAAGTGTTGCTTTTTTTCAAAGTAGGAATGTCAGTTGAAACGTGATCTTCATGCAAGTGAGGAACGGTTGCCTGAGCGACTCAAAATATCGCTCTGCCCCCATGCCTGTGTCCACGTATCCTGTGTCACCAAGAAGAAAGGGACATTCATAATCAAGCACTATGCTGGGAATGTAGAGTACTCTCTTGAGGGGATGCTGGAGAAAAATAAGGATGAGGTCTGTGGCATTCTCACTTCCATCCATCTTCTGTTTCTGGAGTTGGAGTTTATTATTTATAGTTTTCCCCACAGGAGGAGTGCCCATCCCATGTGAAAGTAAAAGCTGATCATATTTCAAGCAATTTTCTTAAACAGAATCTTTGCTGTATTTTGAATAACTATTGCTGAGGGAAAGATTCAAGAATAGCAAGTACAAGAAAGTTTCATTTTCATTCATATAAACATTGCATGAAAATAAATATTCATTAAAAATATCCTCACTTATACCATTATACTAGTTTTTCTATTCATATTTAAAGTGGAATATATGGACCCTTCTAAAATGTTGAACCCTTTGAGAGGTGAGATAGGGTGGAGAGACATGGCTTTGTGGGACTGGGTTAAAAAACAAAGATGAGGAAAATGAAATTACAAAGAATATTTTATTTTGTTCATTCTAGGTTAGAATAAATGGTTTTTGGGTCTGAAAGTCATTTATTACATGAATCTTTGCCTTGACATTCAATAATTTCAGGTTTATGTATTTTTCCAGAGTATAACATATACACTATACTTTCAAAAGTATTTGGATGCCAGTAATGTTGAAGAAAATGAATTTTTAATAAGGAAATTATGTGTGGGCCCACCTTTGGCCTGATTGACAGCAGTGGTCCTTTGTGGAACACTTTCAACCAGTTCACAATAGCAGGCAGCTTGAATATTGCACCATTCCTCCTTCAATGCAGTCGCCATTGCAACAGTCGAAGTGGGGCATATTGGCCTCTCCCTGATCTGGCATTCCAGCTTGTCCCAAAGGTGTTCTATGGGATTCAGATAAAGACTCTGGGACGGCCAGGCCAATTCTGGAAATTTGTTTTCCGAAAACCACTTGCTTACACGCCTGGCTTTATGGGACAAAGCATTATTGTGCTGGAACATGAAGGGCCCAGCTCCATAGAATTGCCAGAGTGTCATATATTGACATTTTGGACAACTCTGTGTTACCTACGTGCGACCCCACTTCAACTGTTGAAATGGTGACTGCATTGAAGGAAGAGTGGTGCAATATTCCAGCGGCCTGCTATTGTGAACTGGTCATAAGTGTTCCATGAAGGATCACTGCTGTCATTCAGGCCAAAGGTGGGCCCTCCTCATGTTATTAATTTCCTTATTAAAAATCCATTTTCTTCAACATTACTGCTGTCCAAATACTTTTAAGAGTATAGTGTATGTGTACACCCCATGAGCTTAAAATTTGAACATGTAAAACATACAATTTTAAAATTGTAATAAGTTTTGTAATTTTTGGAATATGGTTTTTGTGCCCAAAGAAACAGAAATCAATGGGATTTTATGATTTCATTAATTCGTTTGCTTGCAGTGACCCTCCATGGTGCCAAAATTTGATAATAAAACCATGCACAAATACACGGGGTGTTCAAAAAATCTTGGAAGTGACCCTGCCACATAGGCAATAATGAATGAAGCAAAATTTTTTTTTTGCTTTTAGTTATTCGAAATAGTCACTGGCAGCTGCCATGCATTTGTTCAAACGGGTCAGCCACGTGTCAAATGCTCCACGGTACTCTTCCTGAGGTATACTTGCCAACTGTGAATTGACAGCCCTGGAGAGATCTTGCATGTGAGAAAATGGCTTTCCAGCCGACTCCCTTTTGATTCTAGAAAAAGCCAGAAATCACAGGGTGCCAGGTCAGGAGAGTAGGGTGGGATGGGCAATGACATGGACTTTCTGCTCCTCCAGATACTGTTATACAGCAGCCATCTTGTGGCTTGATGCATTGTCATGCAAAAGCTGTGTGTGGGATGTGCCAACTGTGGGTTTCTTTTTGGTGATTGATTTGCAGAGCTCAGGAAGGATATTGTTCTTGTAGTAATTACCAGTCATTGTCTGCTTCTCAGATAGAACATCCACCAACAGAGGGCCTTCATAGTCAAAAAACATGGTGAACAGGCGTTTCTTTGACCGGAAATCCTGTCGCAGAATCTTTGGCCAGGGCTCATTTTCAGCCAGCCACACCATGTTGTCTGTTTTGTTAGGCACTGTGTAGTAGTAGAACCAGCTCTCATCACTGTAGCAATATCAGTCAAACATTGGAACCATTAGGACCAAACAGTTCCAAGTTTTCACGTGAAAACTGCACTCGTTTTGCCTTCTGTTCTGCAGTCAGCTGGTGTAGGACCCACTTCGCACATTCTTTCTAACATTCAGCTCATTGTGTAAAATGTTTGAAATTGAGCCAGCACTTAATCCACACTCATCCACTAATGTTCCAATGGTTGCACTTGGGTTAGCCTGCAAAATGCCTCTGACACGATCTGTGTTTTTCTCATTCATGCTGATTTTGGGCGTCCTTCACGTGGCTGGTCTTGCAGAGTGTCTCCACCACTACTAAATTCATGTATCCAGCGAGCAACTGTGTTGAATGAACATTTGTCCACATGCACATGCTGTAGATCAGCATGAATCTGGCTTGTACTGTCTCTGAGTTTCATCCGGGTGAAAACATAGGTTCATGGGTTCACTCTCTTTGTTAAATTCAATATTTTTAGGCCTCAATCAAAACGGACACTTTTTTGCTGAATTAGTACACAGCCTACAATATAGATACAGATACTGTTATTATTTCTAGACAATAGTCAACGTCACGTGTATATGCCACTATCAACAAATCAACCCAGATACAAACCACTCCTTTTGTATTTGTTCACTTCCAAGACTTTTTGAATGCCCCACATAGCTGCGCAGTATGAGGTGTAGAGGTCCTCCATTATGGTCCAGAGGTGGTGATGGAAGGAAAATGCCTTGGATGCAACTTCCTACCTTCACCTCCACACCATACAGTGCAATTTGTGCATGGTATCAAAGATTCCATTTTGGCACCATGGAGGGTCACTGTAAACAAACGAATCAAGGAAATAATGAAATCCCATTGAATTCTCTTTCTTTTGGCACAAAAACCTTTATTCTAGTTCAAAATTTGCAAAAGTTATTACAATTTTAAAATAGTCAATGCATTTTCATACATCCTGTATAAGTATATCCTTTTAAGGAGTGTACTCCTGAAAGAGCTAATGAACCATTTATCCAAAAGAATTGTGAACATTTGTGATAAATATTCCTGTTAGCACAGGTGCCTGATGAGCTCCTCTCACTGCTGATGGAATCACAAAATCCACTTCTCCAAGAAATGGCCAAAATGCATGGAAACAGATTGTCAAGTGATACTAGTCCTAGACGAACACAGCGAAAAATCACCATCCTAGCCAAGTTCAAGGTTTGAGTACTGTAGTTACATCTTTTATGTATGATCAATCTCCATTATTCAATGACTTAATGCTTATGAATGTGGAGCAGATGTCCCTTGACAATCTCCTGGGAATTTTGTCTTCTTCCCACGTCCATTACATTCGTTGCATCCGACCCAACAACGAAGGACTTCCTAATCATTTCTCAAATGAGGATGTTCATCGTCAGCTGGCTGCTTGTGGCATTTATGAGACTATCCAAATCTCCCAGGCTGGTTTTCGAGTCAGGTGATATGTCAAATCCTCTTCCTAGCCAAAGAGTCATGCTTTGTCCTGTAATTGAATTCCAGGCATGAGGAGAAGGTAGTGTTATCATCCAGAGTGAAGATCTTTATCCAATATGAAGTGACCAGCATTTTTATTCCCCTGTAAAAGAGGCCTTGTAAAATTGTTCAGATGGATTAGAAAAAATAACCCCCTTTTTATGAGCATATACCAAAGGATGAGAAACAGCAATATCTGCATTAAAAAAATGTCAACTTGGCACACAGTCCCTGACTCAATCAAAGGCTGGCTGATAGGTTGGTGGAAACCAATAGAATCCACTAGTGGTCATACAAACTTGAAAGTGTTGTTTTTGAGTGTATCTCCAAGCACTGATCTCATCACTACTTGGAATTTCATTTAGAGAGGAAAAGTAAAAAAGATATGGTGGTCCATGTGTACCATGATTATACCAGATATGACCAATTGTCCATCAAGGACAACCATCCCTTGTTGATGTCACTAAAACTTGAGTGGTTCCAATTCACCAAAAAATATTGTGGATTTGGGAATTTCACACTCTTTCTTCCACACAATACTTTCTTGAAAAAGTTTTAGCAGATTCATTAGGTTTTGCACAACCCAGCAGGATCTGCAACATTTCTTTGATTGAGTCAGAGACTGCTGTTAAACTCATTTTTCATTTCATTTCCTTTCAGAAAAAACCTCCATAAAACTGTATTTTACTCTCAGAGTGTCTTGCTTGATGTGGTTAACTACATTTTTTGTACCTACCTGTATCCAATTGTCAGGAAAGTATATTGCTATAGGGTGTCTTTCAGAGTTGGTTATGGAGAATTCCTGGATCGCTTTGGAGTGCTGGCCAGAGGAAGTTTCCGATCAAATTTTAGAGAAGTTCATGTGGGAAACACTATGAGCCCTGCAGGTAAGAGTAAAGAGCATGGAAACAAAAATGGAGGAAGAAATGCTTTCTAATAATGCATGGATTTTAACACATGAAATTAACTTGTTTCTGCACTAGAAGTGGTTCAGAAAATCTTGAAAAGATCCCTTGGAACTGAACGTGTGAATCAAGAATGTAGGTTTGGTCACACCCGCCTCTTTGGCACTGAGAATGTTTTTGAGGATTTAGAGACAACCCTAAGGACTCATCAAGACGTGGCAGTACGTTCTATACAGCATGCTTGGAGAATTCATTCCAGTTGTAGATACAAGGCTGCTGTCATCATCCAGAAATGTGAGCTTAAATATTTTGTATTTTCATCTTCAGGTTAGATTATCACTCTGAATTGGTGTAGTGAAAGAAAAATATGGGTTTGGGGATTCAATTCATGCTGAAATCACAGGGATTCGAGGTTGGCGATGCCGTCAACATTACAGGAGGATCACTGGTGCTGTTATTTGCATACAGAGATGGTGGAAACAGCTCTCTCCCAAGGAGACAACAACAGAGCCTTCAAATTCAGAAAAAAAGCTCCAAATCTCACTTGCCATTTCTGAGATGAAACACTGTGATATTCTCAGGGGTATCATCTCAGTCTATTGCATTCAGGTATTGAAAAGTTCATTCTCTTGCAGAACTGGCTTTTACAATTTTACATGTTTTCCTTTGAATAAAATAAAGTGAGAATGAATATTAGATGCATTAGATAATAATAGATTTATTATAATTTCATTTGTTGATTTAATGGATAATAAGTACTTTATGTATTGTAAATTACTTTGGCTTCTTGACACTGAAAATGGTCAATTTTAAATGTACTATTTCTAAAATTGATGCTCAAACAGGAGGTGAGGAAGATTCATGTGAAGCGGAGTTGCTTGCCCCATGCATACAACTATCCCAGGGTGGAAAAGAGATCTCAAGGACTCCTTGATCTCCTTCGTCCATCCTCATGTCAGCCTCCTGTATTCTGATCATAGAAATGGATAGCTTTGTGATTGTGATATCTGTTCTTTCATGAAGAATCCAAATCAGATGACAGGCAGTGAGAAATTTTTTATAGGATGTGACATCAAAACCTACAGGGATAATCAAATAGGGAAGGCAAATGCCTCATTGCTACAAATTTTTTGTTGCTCACCACCATTGCCCATGCAAATGGAGAATGGATAATACAAATGAAGATGCAAGTTTGCCAGCTTATTGCTCACATTGGTGCTAATGTGGTTTTGGCTTGTTCAGCTTCAATTTGTCTTGGAACGCAGTGATGGTATGGGACTTTGTCTCATATATGATATAACCGTTTGAGGACACTTCACAGGAAGTTATCCGAGGGGTCCAGGTCTGGCATGAAGTGCATCATTTCCAATTTGCTCAGTATATTTTTGTATTAGAAAAATGCTCCATTTGTTGCCCTAATAAGTTTTTTTGGGTGTGTTACTATCCTGAACCAAAACCTTCTATGGCTCTCTTGCAAGGATTGGATTATCTCATGTTATGCTCATCATTTAATTACAAAGCATTTTATATTGAATATTGATGGATACAGGTGCTGGGCAATTTATCATTCAGGAGAGTGGGGGAGTTGGAACCAGTGGTTCCACTTCCAATGGAGATGTAGAAGCTGGGTTAAACCTTGTCACAATTGGTGTATTGACTTATTGTTACCAGTATGTATACATCCATGACTTATTGAATCAGCATGCAGAATTGGGTGACCTGTTGCTGTTGCACATTGGTCAATGTTTTTTATCCACTGCAATATGGGAAATATTGGGTTGGAAAGAAAGTCTTGCAACACTCTGCACAAATTTTTCAAAATTTTATAACTTTATTGAAATGCAATTTCTGTCTACAATGCAATGACCATTGTTGTCTATGACATGTTCCAAACGCACGGGTAACTGCTCGATGCCCTTGGCCCAGAACTCTGGCGATTGTGAAGTGAAGAAACGACCGACATCATTTTCTAACTGTGCTCAATCGTCGAAGGCCTCGTCCTGCAGGTGATTCTTGAGGGCCCAGAACGAGTGATAGTCGGAAGGGGCCAAGTCCGGAGGATACGCTGGATGGGGTAAAACTTCCCAGCCCAGTTCCGAAATTGTCTGGCGAGTCATCTTCGCAACATGTGGATGAGCGTTGTCATGCATAAGGAGAACTTTGTCGCGTTTGGGACGCTCTTTTTGAATGATGCCAGCCAACTCAACAAGTTGAGCGGCGTAGACGACGGCAGTCACGGTGGTACCAGTTGGCAGGAGCTCATAGTACAACATTCCTTCTGAATCCCACCGACAGCAGAGAAGAACCTTCTTCTTGGAAGAACCCTGGTTTCGTTTCGTGTGACGGCAATTCTCCTTGTGGAAGCCACTGACTCTTGCGAGTATGGTTGACGTAGAGGACCTAGCTCTCATCTCCAGTAATGATTTCCTTCAGAAGGTCCTTTCTCTGCGGACGAAGGAGCAGTGATTCGCAGACTCATGGCTCAGAGTCGCTGAGCTGATGAGGGACCCATGTCGAGTAAACCTTCCGATAGCCGTTCAGATGGTTGCCGATGGCCATATGGATAACTCCAAGTGTAGTCGCCAATTCGCGAGTGGTTTTGTTCAGCTTCGTGTTGAGGGCGTTCCGCAGGGCTTTGTCAGAAAGTGTTGCAAGACTTTCTTTCCAACCCAATACAAGGTGTCCTAAAACTAACTGTGCACTTTCAAAAATTGTCCAAAGAGAACTTATGAGCCAGATGAATGTCATTTTTAAGCATAGAGTTTATAAACCTAAGTGAAAATTAATGGAAGATTCATTACTTGAGGAAAGGTTACGCTTAAATGTAAAAACCAACCAAATTTAGTTTGACCAGCACTAGGGAGGCGGAATTCACACGAGCGGAATAGCGCCAAAACATAACTGTCGATAGGAACAACGCCGAAAATAAAATCCGGAACTGCACCAAATAGAATTTATGCGAACAGGAAAGAAATCGAATGCACTAAATTGGAATAATGCTGACAGAAATTGCACCAACTGGAACTACATCGCCAGGAAGAACGCCGAATCGGAATAACAATGACCAGAACAACGCCAAATGGAACAGCACCGAATTGGAATAACAGAAAATCCCTTGAATTAGTTCCATACAAGTAAAATAGATGTCGCATGTTTCGGGTCACCTGTGTGTGTAAGAGTCAGATATCAAAGAACGTGTTCAACTGAATTGAGTTCAACTTGGTCTTTAAATTTGACGAGCTGCACAACACCTTCAGTACTTTTGATGTAGAGAAGTAAAACTAGGCAATGCTTTTGATTGAAGGTATGCATGCAGTCCTATGCATGAGTAAATTTCTTTACTTTTTCCAAATTGAACACTTGCAGAACTTGTTCATATCGCAGGTGAGTGTTAAAAAAATGTCAGAAAGACCAAATACAGTTGTAAATAAGGCCACCTGCAACTATGAGACTAGAGGAATGGTTTGTCATGGAGTGATATTGATGTGCCATTTGAGCAGATTCACCGAAATTTTATTTAAAAAAAAAAAAAATTCCACCTTCAGCACATTTCTTTGAAGTAGATGGTATGGCTAATCCCATGCAAAAAAACTGTTGATTGTGGCCGGGCTGAAGGATGAGATTGTTACTCACTCTGGCTGCTTCTTGGAACTTCTCAAATAATTGCTCTGGGGTTATATATTTTTTTTATTGTATCGTATCCAACTTCACTCCTTTTTCCAAGGGGTGGCGAGGATCAGGATTAGCTCCCCTCCTCAATCCATGGTTTGGAAAAAAGACTCCCAGAATTGACAAAAGCGGAAAAGACACCATAATTGGTGGTTGATTCATAATTATTCATATATATATATATTTATTTATTTATTTATTTTTACATATCAGATGATTAAGGACATTCACTTGGCAACATTGAGGCGCATTCATGCAGGGATGTGGCTGATTTATGTTCATGTTTTTAATATTTAAGGATGTATTGCCACCAATTGTTCAAATAACATTACTAATTATTCGTTTCCATTGAGAATAAAATGATGGAAAATGCAAAGCATTGCTAGATTGGAAGCACTTCTATCTATAGAGATATTCTTATCCTACATTCAATTAAATTAGGCCAATTAAAGATTTTCCTGTAACTTTTCTTGTGTTCCATATTTATTCATTATTGTCGTTCTTCATTTCTCAGAGAGCACAAAAGTTTGTAAAGACATTTTAAATAAAATATCCATTGCAGAAAGCACAGCTGAAATTACAGAGCACGGCGTGGTTTTTTTTTGCACAGGTAACTGTAAACATCACCCTTTATTACCTTTCTCTACAGTATCAGAAGCATATTCTTTGCCAATTCAAACCTAATCTTCTCAGGAACAGGGAAGCGAAGAGTGGCAACAGCAAATGCAGAAGCTATGCATAACACTTCTGCTTTCTTCTGACACTTATAGCCAACTAATTCCTGCAAATGACCGATTTGGAACTAAATTTGCAGGAGACACTTCATGTTTTTCAATTAGCGTTGTTCAATAAATGGCTTAAAATTAGCAAAACTCTTATATTCCCATAGGAAAACCTAGAAATAAAGGGTTTCTCATGCTGTCATTAAATCCCGCAGTAAACAAGGATTATCAATGATACCCCTTTTGATGTCAAAGAACTATAATCAAAATACTGTTCAACTCTGCTTAATCCAGCACCAGCAAAACCTCCTCATCGTTCAATACAAACAATACATTAAAATTTCCCAAATGATAATGCAGTTCACAAGTACTACATATCGTAAGACACGAATAATGGAAATTCTTTATTTGATCCTATTGAAATCCTCCAATTGCTGCAACATTAGGAAAATACAGTAAAAGACTGTCAGGAATTATGCAACACAGCTTCCATACAGTAAGAACTAAGGACACCTCCTGCTTAGGATTTTCGACATTATTCCGGGTCAGTGCTATTCCATTCGGAACTCTTCCAGTCAGCGTTGTTCCTGTTCGGCATTGTTCCAGTCTGTGTTACTCTGGTCGGTGTATTCTAGTCGACATCACTTCGATTGGCACTTTTCCAGTTCGACTGTTCCTGTTCGGCGTTATTCTTTTCGCGCTTATTCTAGCGACCTTTTATTCAGATTGTTATATTTTGATATAATTCTTTAAAAAGAAATTCACCCCAGGAATGGATTCTCAAATCATTTGAAGCTTGTTTGAAGTGTTGTATGTAAAAAAAAAAAAAAAAAAAAACTGATTCCACAGATGAAGGCTTCATTCCTGACAAATATAGAATAGGTGGGAAAGGAGATGATTGATGCACAGGAATGATCATGCTCCTAGGGCTTGCAGCGGTCTGGGAAGCGGGGATAGAGACAGGCCTCCCTGATGTGGTATCGGTTCAGAAGCCAACAGATGAATCGCTCCAGTCCCAGTCCATACCCACCATGTGGGCAGCTCCCATATTTTCGCTTTAAATTTAAAAAATAAGGTCATCATCACAACCCAAATTTCTCGACATTTCAGGGTTCTAGCCAGGAAATATCCTAAACTTGGGCAGGCTCATTGATTTAACATGGGGGCACATGCACCAACCAAAACCAACTTCCTAGTTTTTCCAATTCACTTGACAAGTGTTTGAGGATACTATAGGAAGCAATGCCACAGGCATAGCTCAGGTGCACCACCTAAACTTGCTCAAATCAGCTATTACGTGTGACAGAACTCACTTGGGAAAGGGTCAAGACTTTTTAGATCAGTGGTGAGCAACCTGCAGTCTGTGGGCCACATGTGGCCAGCGAGGCCCTGGTGTGTGACCCGCAGAGCTTTGCCAACTTAATTTTTTTTCCCGTCATCTACCATCCAGAGTAGAGCACATGTGCGCTCAAGGATTCCATTACCCACTGCAGGAGAAATGGAGCAAGAAGTAAAACATAACTATATTTCTGCTACAGCTGCAAATATTCCCTCAATCTCTTCTTGGTCAGTGTACCACTGCTCTCTGAGCAACCAGCTTGCTTGGTATTTTGCTCAATAAACGGTGAGATAATTTTCACATGTAGCATATTGTTAGCAGCTACATGGTTTACTAAGCCAGGCATAGGATTATTTTGGTATTCAGCCTGTAATTCGGTAAATAAATTTTAAAAATACAAATATATAAATACATGCAGCCCGCTGGGAACCTAAAAGGTTCACTTGCGGCCTGCAGTCAAGAAAGGTTGCTCATCACTGTTTTAGTTTCAGATTCAGCTTAGATTCAGCTCAGAACAAGCAGCTGCTTATTTTTTATTCATAAAACTGTGTGGTCTGCCCAGATATAATGACCTAGCTAGAACCCTGCATTGTCCAAAAATTTTAAGTCTTGAATGGATTAGTCCATTTTTGATGCAACAAATTCCAGAAGAGAGTTTGCTATTCATTTTGCACCTCCAAAGGCTTATAACACTTTTTTTTTAGGGTCTGATATTTCAAGAAAATTTGTCATATCTTCAAGCATTAAAGCTTCAAAGATAAGAGTAAGCAAAGACAGGTAGCAGCAAGCACAAGTAGTGCACTTGCTTTAAATTTGCTTATTTCAGCAGATTCAAGTGAAACTTCCTGAAGTTCAAACAGTAAACAATTCTTGAAAATGTATGCCCAAAAACTTATATTACTTTACAAAAAGTAGCTGAGAATCATTTTAGTGACTGTAACTAAGAAAATAAGTTACTAACTGGGGAAATGATGCAATACCAGTAATGGCACAGATTCCCAGAGGGTACCTGAAATGATTTAAGGCACTCACCTGATCAGTGTACCAATAATAAGGAGTAGGGTCAATGCCCTCCCTCTTGAAACCCTCCATCAGTTCCTCATACTTCCAAATCCTCATGGACCCTCCAACAATCTCTCCCACTCCTGGCATCAATATGTCCACCTACCCAAAACAATCAGCAGTTCCTGTACTCCTAGCTGGAAGGTCTGAGGTCATTTCATACTTGATTGCATTAAAAGCAAAAACAAATTTCAAGAAGTTCTACATTCCATAAACTGTGATATAGTAACTTTCACATGTACTGCAATGCCATACAGTCTAAAAAAAAAAAGGGAGAACAAGACATCAAGATATGCATTATTATTAACATAAAAATAGTATTCTTTCATTCTCCATACACATTACGGCATGATACACGACTTCCACTCAAACATCATACAAGTAATATAACAAAAGATCAAACTTTTTTATTTATTTTTGGCAGTGCTGCATATCCTGGGGTAGACTTTTTTAGCAATATCTTTTAATCTTGTATAGTGTTATGAATGCCATTGCATGCCAAATGATGGAATACCCTAAAAGCACTTTCTGTTAAGATTCACTGTGTTGCCATGAAGACAATCAGAACATACCGATTCTGTGACTCTGGTATCATCTTTGCACCGGGGCATGTAGAAGCTTTTTATTTCTGCAGGAAATCTAATTAGCATTATCGGTTCATTTATCATGTCTGTCATCTTCCGCTCAGGCAGTTCAGGAATATCCTGTAAAGGTAATATAAGAGGAGTCATTCAACAACCAATACCCTTTCATATGCATGAGATTTGTCTTATTCTAAGCATGGGCTGAAAGTATCTAGTTGCCAGATTGAAAATTTGCTTGTACAGTCAATTGTCACAAGGGTTTCAAATAGGCAACATGTCAATTATGAAGCAGTATATAATTATCATATGTTGTGCTTTACTGAAGAAAGCACCAATGGAGACTGACAATGTTGGAAGAAGCTAATGGAGACAGTGCAATGAACAAGTGACCTGACCCCTGGATGTCTTAGATGTGGAAACAGCTGTATGACAATGCCCCTGAGCAATGATCACTCCCATTCCAAGCATTCCTCACTGAACTTTCTGTGATGGCATTACCATATGCAACATACCCTCTGGACCTAGCTCCATGTGATTTTCATCACAAGGATTCTTTTCCCAAGAATAAAGTTGGTAGAAGGACAAAGATTTGCAAGTCCTGATGAAGTCAAAGAGGCAGTGACAGAAACTTTAAAGATCCTTTTGAAAATTTTATTTCAAGATGCATATGGAAAATTGTATAGACACTGGCAAAAGTGTACTATAGCTGCACAGGGATAGTCCTTTGGTGAAAATGTTATGTAAAGGTATTCATAATGCACCAATAGTTTGATGAAACATGTATCCATGTTTACTTTATGGTTGAGTGTTCCCTTTTGTTCTGTAAGCTTTCAGCTTATCTCACTCTGGTTTGAATGAATTTAGTCATGGTAGTCAACAGCTTAACAGGTACAGCAAATTAGAGCTAAATATACTAGGAAGGCATCTTTTTATGCCTTGAAGTTTATTAGGCCAACCAGTTATAATTTACTATACTTTCATGCTCACAGTATATTCTCCCCCACCTTTAACCACTTTCTGGACATAACAAAACTTTCTTGAAAAAGGAAAATATGGCAAACCAAAGAGAATTAGCAGAAAGCAGGTTGTTAATCATCGATTGTTGATATCTCCTGATAATCTCACTGATGAAATGAGAAGAAAGTAGAACTCACATCCCCAAATTCGTAGAAGGAACCATCCTCCTTGGTGATGTTATTTTCCTTAAGGAACTGGATGGCATCTTTGTAGTCAAGTCGACGGAAGGGACGCTTAGGTGGCTTGAATTCCTGCAGATACCAATGTTGATAATGGCATCAAGAGTAAGTGCTGACAAGCCATCTTATCACATTGAACAGAACCATTAATTCAATCTACACAATTCTTAGTCTCAAAGATCATTGCTTGTAAAAATATTTAAGAAGATCCTCTTAACCTCTGAACAGTAACTATCACCTGTGAGTCCTTGCAGCAGCTCAGCTGCACTCTCAAAATACCCTTATAAAGGGTGTTCCATTTACCTGTATCTTGAAACCATGAGAATGTTGATTTAAAGGAAATAAATAATAATTTCAATTTCATTTCAGATTGAAGATAAAATACTACGAAGTTGTTGACCATGGAAACCTGGGGCTTGGGACACTGTACATGATAGTGGAACATTATTTGAAAAGTCACTCACTAGTGACTGCACAGAGAACTTTCAGAAGAGAATTTCAAATGTGAGACTCTCCCAGTATATCCACTATTCTGCAGTATGGTGGAGAACAAAATTTCGCCACATGCTCCACAAAGATCTAAACTTGTTTGTTGTTCATATTGTGCTTTTGTTGCACTCACACCTGTCTGGCTTGACACAGAGTGAATGGAATTTGCTGAATTGCTGAGCTTATGATGGCTATCGTCTCCACTGTTTGCACTGATGGTACACGGTTGTGCTTATCAGCCACAGATCCCCCTTCCCTAAATTCGGCAATGTACTGCAGAATAGTGGATATACTGGGAGAGTCTCATGTTTGAAATTCTCTCCAGAAAGTTCTCTGTGCCATCACTAGTGAGGGACTTTCAAAATAATGTTCCACTATCCTGTACAGTGTCCCAAGCCCCAGGATTCCATGGTCAACAACTTCGTAGTATTTTATCTTCAATCTGAAATGAAATTGAAATTATTATTTACACAGTTTTCCTTTAAATCAACATTCTCATGGTCTCAAGATAAATGGAACACCCTGTATAATTGGGGAGTAACATTAAATCTGGAGCATTTATTAATAAAAAGTCATTAAAATTCGTTTTTTTTAAATTTACTTACCTAATTTTTACATATTTTGTTCTGTCTGTGAAGCTGGCATAGTGCTGTAGCAACTCTTGGAATGGTGTTGAATTGAAAGTCTAAAAAGTAAAAAGGGATCCATGTTCTAGTTGGAACTTTTCCTCACCTAAAACCCATGGATATGGGTAGTTGATCCACTTTACTTTGAGGTCACTATGAAAAAAAAGCTGGTTGTGATAGAGTTAATTATGGATCAATAATATTCATAATATTCATACTTCTTTCAAGTATTGCAGAAACAAGACATGACATAGGTTAGGATTTTGATGGGAATGAATAAGGGTGCTCACGGGATTGAGTTCATAGATGATATCCTTGTGATCTGACTTAATGATGCGATCCACCACATCGCAGACCAAGTCTTCCAGAATGTCAAGCAAGTCCTCAAATGTGATGAATGGGCATTCTCCTTCAATATGGGTGTACCTGGCACACAAGTGTGAAAAATGTGTAGCTTTGCATGAAGATTTTGAATTTAGGATCTAAATTTAGCAGCCATTGCAATTCTTAGAATTTGGTGCACAAAGGAGTAAGGTGAAACTCAACTTAAGCTAATAATGAGTACAATTTCTCAATGTACCATATGAAGAAAGGGTTGTGAGAAATACCTGCAAAATAATATTACAATGAGTCAGACATTTCCATGGCATTTCATTGGTTGGGTACTTGACTTGACAGTGACTTATAAGTTGAGTTACACACTGAACAACCAGTAGGGCCAATGCAAATTAATCCACACTAAGCTCCTTCACAACTGTTACCATTTCTAGCCATTGTAATGCTATTTCCACTAGGTAAGAAAAAGAGCTATAGAAATGTCATAGTTGTCTTTCAAATGTGAAACTACAATAATTCTCAGATTAAATAAGACTCACAAGACTTTCAAAACCTGGAAGACAACTCGCCAATGAGAGTATGGGTTGCTCACTCTGCAAGATGTCTCCTAGTACGTGATTGTTCAGCCCGGTAACTCTGAGCAATGCAGTACACATCACCCAGGGCAGGCATGGCTGTCTCAAGGTAGAGCTGAGAACTCTGAGTGAGATATGCCTCCTCATGGAAATATTGCAACTTGAACAGGGTTGCCCCACCTTCCACTTGGGTCTGTACAAGGGTTGGAGGAGTGACCTCATAGTAACCCCTGCTGGCATAGTGGTCCCGGAAGGCCCGTATCACTTCTGACCTCACCCGCAACACCTTTGATGTCTGTGCAACAACCCATGTATGAACTTGTGAGAACAAACCCATAATACATTCTACAAGCATAGATTCATCCAAGTACTTGAACTATGACTTGAAGTTCAAGGTATACAAAAGCTTCTTGAATTAAGGTGGCATATTGCCAAAAAGTAGAAATACATGTTCTTTAAATCTTGGCAGTAAATTGCCTCATCACTTTGAGCCCACATATTAACTACTGTCTAACATCTGATCCTCCTAGAAGACAAAACAAGACCAGATGAATTTTAGTAGACTCAACAATGTGTGTTTTTTTTTTAAACTGGCAGTTTTTGGAAATCTTAATCAATTGCCATTTCTCTTCATTCCAAGCCAGATTCAGTTTTCACTCTAAAATTAGAACTCTGTTCATGAACACCAGTGGCCAGTGCCTTGCTTGAGAAGTAATAAACACTGAGGAGACAAGCAAGTATTTTCTATTGAGCCTGACACATTAAAGCCATATGGATTTGCCTCATTTGCTTGAGATGGTCTGGGTCTGAATGGACCACCACCTTTCCAACTGAAAATCATTCTCAAGGAATATAGCAAATTAAAAAGTTTCTGTACTCAAAGCTTCAGTTATCTCTGAAATTATTAGTTTAGGATACAATGAAAGGGAAAAAGTTATCAGTGCCCTACATTTTCCCCACGGATCATGATGTGTCGGTTGTCTAGCTGGACATCTATGTGAGCATCCTCATTGAGAATGCTGTCTGCTCCTCCTGGTGGGGATCCACCTATCAGCTCCCAGTAATCAGCCTGCAGTTCATGACCACCTGGTGCCTGCAAAATAGTTATTGCCATTCTTAAACCATAAGGATGCACTATAGCATGACGAAAATGGTCACAATTTAGTATATAACCATGGCAAGTCCAGAAGTTTCATGATGAGGTTTGTCTACAATTGATAATTTTCTCCACCCCAAAATTATAAGCAATTAAAGAGATATTTCTACAGTTTAATTTCACCCATCTAGGTAGTACCCATATGTCAAATAAAAGCAAACTTGATGGATGCAGGTTTTCCTCGGAACAATCTGTACTATGCATGATATGTTTCAAAACTCTATTAAATATCCACAGTTTATGATTTTTTCAAGATGATGAAAAATACAATCAAGCATATGGTTCCAAACAACAAACTAACAATAAACTTCCAAAGAAAGCTCTGAACTTACACTTTTTCCTTCAGGAACAGCTTTCAAAGTGCCATAGATGGTGATAGTAGCCTCAGTGGAGAGAGTTAAAGCTTCATAAGTCTGACACAGGATGTCATTGAGGACACACTGAAGGAAGCCAGTCCCATCTCGCAAAGTCATAAATATCAACCCTTTGCCTGGAAAGTAGATGAATAAATGCTATTACTCTAATGAAGTAGAAATCCATCCATTGTGATATCAATGTGAGCCTCCAGGAGAACCCCTCTATTATAATCATCAATTTTGCTGAAATTGAGAAGCCTGACAACATTTCCAAAAAAAATAAATAAATAAATAACTCTGAAAGACATTGATGAAAAAAAAAGAGACTAGATTATCAACAGACTCATTACACATGTTTCAGTATTCGGGATAATGAATAAAAGGTAGTTGAATGACTCCTCCTTGGGAAATACTGATAGAATTTTACTGATGTATGAAATTGTCATGTGCCAAATAACCAGCACTCACAGATCATCTGTACAAATACCAAAAAGGGGGAAATTTACCAGATAATATTAGGTTGATTCTCATGACTGTACAGTACAGTAAACTCACATGATGATAAAAAATACTGGTCAATGCATCATTGTTATGACACTTCACTAATACAGGGTTTCAGCATACTTAAATCAGGCAGGACTTGGCAACAATCATGAGCATACAAAGGAAATGTATTCCCACCAGAGAGCAGCTCTGTAGCAACATGGTGACGTACAGCATACAGCAAGAGGTGTATATCATGTAATGTTTCTATCTAAGTGGAAATTCAATTCTTACCATTCAGCAAAAGTTTCAGAATGAATATGGGACATGTGGGGCAACTGAAAGGCAAACCATTCCCTGGTCAATAATTTAAGGAAAAATATTTGTTCTGGATCAATGTCAAGGTCACTTGGGCTGAGTGGCCATATGAACATTTTGTATGACATGTTCCCTAATGTCCATCACAGCAGGTTGGCCTGGCAATCTAGCCACTGATGTCCCTGATCTCTATCCATGTTACTAATTTCTGTGGGGTTGCTCAAAGTAGAAAGTGTTTGAATGTAACCTACATGCAATTGCAGAGTTAAAGGAAGCAATAAAGGGGGAGACTTTAAACATTTTCTCAGATACACTACAGGCAGTCTTGCACAATCACACCCCAGGCCTACATCACATTACTGAATGAGGAGTTGGGTGTATTGCACATGTAGTTCTTCACTGAGCAATCAATCTACGATGTGTTCTCAAGGCTCTTGTCAAATTTTCCCTTCTTAGCTTCAATAATACATCAGTTATGCCAACTTCAAATGGTTTGATATATAAAAAAAATAACATTGCATGGCCTGTAAACCAGGAAGAAAAGGAAAACTGCATCATATATGTCTGAAACTGTGGACTTCTCTATCCTTTTCATACTCTTACATATTTATGTAATAATGTTCCCTCCTTGTTCACAACAGTCAGAAACACAGAGTGTTACAAAAGCCAGCCATTTCATGCATGAAATGGAAGTGTGTAATAAAACTGATTGGGACTGAGCATCTACCTAACCCTTCTTCAAATTGAATATATACATATTTTTTCTTTTAATGAGGACATCTAGACTGCTTGTACTAAGGAAGTACCACCTACTTCATTGCTTTTGCAAAAAATAAAGATTCACTCACATATTTATAACTGAAAATTGGCAAGGCCTATATCAAATTTCAATAGACCTACTGGATTTTACAAAATGGACAGACCTTGTCTTCGAAGCCTGTGAACCCATCCAGACACTTTAATACGCTTGTCTCGATGGCTTCCAGTGTCACGAATCTTCACCTTCAGAGCTTTAGGCAAAGAAGGATCCTCTGTAACTTTGATCTGCTTGGCTTCCTCCAAATTTTTCTCTCGACGCTCCAAATCCTCAGCCTCCCTCTGGGCCTGCTCCTTTTCCTTGGTTACCTCTCGTTGCCATATCTTACGGACCTTCTTGATCTGGGACTGAGACACCACCTCCCAGAGCTGTTATGAATTCAAATGCTAATGAGCTATTATCATTCAGGAGTGACAGGAACATTTGAATAGTGAGGCATAATTACTCTAGGTTGTTTTCCATGATTTCCAAAAGTAGGGATATTACTGATGAGGAAATTTTACTGATATCCAATAAATTGATAGTCATTAGGAGGGGTCCAATATAATCAATACTCATAATCATGATGATTGGCTCATGGAGTCATGTTATTATCCCATGGGATTGGAAGGCACACTGATCGTGCATATTGTAGGCTAACCTGCACAACTTTTAAAAAAGGAATATGGTGAGTCTTGATATTTAATTTTTAAAACTGGAAGTTGGCATAACATTTCCTCTAGTGCCTAAACCAGAATCCAAAGATTGTATCAGTTGGAGAGAGCTACAGCTGTTTCACTCCCATCTCCCCAGCCATATAAAGACAAAAGAATGATGTCTGAATGCTGAAACGTTTTTTAGTTAACTATTTTTTAAGAAACCACAGACTTCTTTGGGCGGGAAAAGAGCTCTCTAGCTTAACCATTTGGGGTCCACATTGGAATTATCTTGTGTTGCATAATGCCAAGGTATGGAAAAAACTAATGACAGTGTCAACATATTCAAAATACTCAAACCCCAAAAGGTTAAAGACCCCTTTATCTTGCGGTTTCAGCATTCACGCCTAGTCAGAACAAAAAAGTGCACACGCACAAATACTAGAATGATACTGATGCGAGATTGTGGATTGTCCAAAGAAAGGTACAGATAAAGGAGTGTTTATTAATTGACTCAAACCCTTTCCCTGGTGCTGACATAACATTATCTCGACATCCTAGAAACATTTAGATATCCTGTCAGGGAAAGGATTAAAAGAGGATGGGAAAAGTGAACAATGTGCCAGGAAGGAGGTAGATATGCACATGGTTCTTGGGCAGGACCACCCCAAAGAGACAGAGTGATGCAGGGTGCATTTTTTCTTGCTCAAACTAATTTGGCATTCATGTCAGATCATGGTGAAATTTCCTGTGAGGCAATCACACATGCACACACCTGGTGGACATATTCTGCTCACTATCAGACCAGCTGCCCTATTGTCAGAGAATTAAAAATGGAAGGCTTTTGCCCCTGGATTGTTTGGATTTTCTTTTGAAACATTCCCCTAAGCCTACCTGGAATTCTTGTTGATAAAAGCACTACTAAAAACCAATGTTTAAACAAGAACTTTGGATATCGGTTTATTGGTGGTCTAGTTGCCTTGTTTTTCTGATAAAACATATAGATAATTCTTCACTTTTTAATTGGCCCTGACAAATAATTGGTAACACCTCTATCCAAAAGCATCAGCTAGCTAGAAAACTCAGGGATTCCAAGTAAATCCAATAAATTTTGAAATGCAAACAATCACATCCAAGGCACTGTGGCCTTCAACTAACAGGCTTGGACCTAACCATTTTATCATCCTTCCCATCAGTCATGAATGGTGGGAATGGTTCCTTTCCAGCATGATGCATGGCCTTCAGTAAGGTCTTGAAGGGTTTCTTCTCAGAGCCATCTCCTGTTGTGTCATCCCCAACCTTCTCTGATATGAACAGCTGTGCCAGTTCCACAGCTATATAACAAAATCAAAGGGAAGACCATGATGGGTATGGCAGAGTAAGTCATGCCAATAATCACTCATGTTCATTTTCCCGTCCATGACATATATGCTTCATACCCTAGACTGAATTTTAAAAGAAAGGGATGCATTGTGAAACTATTTCTTGGACTGCAGGTAGATGCCTAATTCTGTGCACTGTTATGAAAGTAGGAGAAAGATAACTCATTCATTAATGTGAACTGCTCATGAGTTCAGCAACATATTGTTTGACAGATAACAAATGGCAGTATAGGGGACAGGAGGCTACTGTCACCAGAATCATATAAACGAGGAGAACCAGTAAAAAAAAAAAAAAAAAGAATAAAAAAGGTTATACCTACATATTAACCCTTCCAGTACCAAATTATTTCTGCTTTTATTTTGAAGGTTGTATTTCATAAGAATAAATGGCATGGCGCCATTATCTTCTCTAAGAATTGAATAAAAACTGCATATGAGAAGCATTTTCACTATTTTCAATGGAAAGTACATTTTAAAAATAGTTTTATTTTTCATAGACTCAAGTTATCTCAAGGGGTAACAGCGGATTTCTTTATACCTTAGATACCGTTCTGCATACTGGAAGCTTAAGAGATAATAAAAGACACAACTCACCAGCAGCATTGGCATCGCCAGACGTATCTCCCATATTCGAAGCCGGTGAATAAATTAAAGTGAAGGCCTAACTCACAAGTCTGCGATGGGTTTCAGTACCAAATTTGAGGTTTTTACGTGTCTTTTGACAATCTTCGACAGCAAAATCAAAGGGTGATCCCGTGCAAACCAATGTGACGGCGACCTACTGCGACATGAATGTTGAACAATAGCTCCAATGCTTATATGAAGATGAGCCAGAGGAGATGATGCAATATGAAGACCAACTTTCACTCCTAATGATGGGCGAATTACGTCAGCTGCGTCGGCAAGGGCTGCCTAGGTAGACATGCCACGTGTTTAAGGGGGCGGCCATATTGTCGGCGTTTACTATCATGGCCAACACCCTTGAACTTTTATGCTATCGGGACTCTGACTTCATGCAAAGGGCCAATTGTGTTCGAGGAACTTATTGGCGCTTCATAAGAGAATTAATGAAGCTTTAACAGAAAGGATGAGGGCGAAATTTGCTGCTTTTAGAACCGAGTCTGATCTCTATTGTTCCGGGCTGGCCTGAGTTGACTAGCCCACCCTCATCTTAATTTGCCCAAACGTTAGGCCTAGACTGTAAAACTCGTTCAGTGGTTTTCATTTGACACGAGAACTCGTGCATGAGGACATGGGAAGCACATTTATCTGAGTCAAGTGAGAATTTGACTCAAGTGAAAAAGTGCAATCTCTCATGTCTCTGCCTTTCACTTGGCATGAGCAATCTATTTTATATTTGACTTCTTTCTATCTTCTATGGGGGGGGGGGGGGGGGCATCAAATGATTCCGATTTGTGCAACTGAAGTGAGTTGGTGAATAGGGTTGCCACCTTTGAATTTGACAAATATAGACAAATATTCTAAATATACCCAAAGCCACCTTCAGCCAAGGTGCCAATCGATGTCTTGAGTGTGGCCTACTGCTTTTGACTTACAGAAAATAAGGATATTAGCTGCTATTAAGCTATATTGAGTTTTAAAAATCGTAACAAGTTTAAAATATGGACAAGATAGTGTCTATGTTAGGACCAGTTAGCAGTATGAACATAGCATCTGAAATATGTACTGTCCACACTAGTTATGAACAGGTGGCAACTCTTTTGGTGAAGCAGGTTGGCAATTGCCTTACCCAACCCATGATACATGAATGAATTCACTTGCTTTAAGTGTTAATGTGCCTCCGTTGCATATTTAATTGCACTTAGTTCCTGTGCGTGTTTTCTATAATGAGAGAATTGTGCATTAATTGAATTGTGAATTAAATGTGCATATGTAGCAAATGTTGTATATTTTGAATGTTCCTGGATTATAAACTTGAAATTATGGTTTTATGTGGTACTTCAACCATTCCTGTTGAAGATGATTTCATTAGATAATGTAGTGTAGGTAGCCTTTCCTGGAGTATAATAATTATAGGGCTTTATTCTACCTACATTAACTTTTATACCTTCAGATATAAAAGTCAAACTTAAGTTCTAAGTTTTTTATTCTACATTTTTGCTTAAAATGCTCTATCCTGTAAATTATTACTAATGAAAGAATTGGAGAGTTTGAGAGTACATAAGTTCCCTAAGTACATAAGTTTGTGCTTTTTAAGTGCCTCATGGACATTAACTCAATTGGGACTTTTTAGCAGAAAACATGTGTCTGCTCAGGTAGCTGGGGGATTGAACAATTAATAGGAGGAAGGTTCAATTTAGAGGTTATACAAGCTGTATATCTTTTAAATTGAGCTGTGCAATTTAGATTTTGACTCTGGTGATTCTCCTACCTAATGCATCAAGATTTCTCATGCTCTGCTCCCTCTGCATAGAGGAGGTTTAAATACTTTGCTTAAGCCACTGAAGCCTACGTCAGGATATGTCTTCCTATCCTTCCCACTGTCTGATAATGGCATAAATTAACCTAAGTGTAGATCCATCATGTTCAACAGGACTTGCTTTTCTTTCCCCAACTAAAATGGCAATAATATATCATCCCATTTATGGCAGGAATTGGGTGCTCACTTATGGCACCAAAAAAGAGATCCGGTGTTGAACATTTTATCTCACCTAACCCAATTATGTTCATTTGCAGGCATGTTTGTCATTTGGCCTCACAAATTTGACATATTGATGTTTGTGAATATATCATTTTATTGAATATATCATGCTGACAATAAGGAATAAATCATAAGGCAAATGGGTCAATAAGTCATGCTATATGGGCTGGCCAATCAGCAGGTTTGTGAATCAACCGAAGTGATATGATCAGTCATTGGGATGATGGATTGCCATATCTGTGATGCAGGAATGGTCCCTCTTTTATTTTCAGCTACTTGCCTGACTAAGTCCTTGGTAACCGATTTTCCTTGCCCTGCAGATCCACTATCACCTCTTCACCATCCTTTCCAAACTTCCCTTACTCAGGCCATGGCACTTCTGTCCCTCTGCTTCATGGAAGATAGAATGCTATGCACTGACTTCATGCCTCCTGCATTGTCTTTACCACAGCTAAAAAAAAAAATTTTAAGTAGAGGCTTGACTGAGGTGGTAATTGAAGCTGCGCTATAAACACTATGTACAGCAGCACTCTTGGAGAGGTCATGAAATTCATATAACATCCAGCTTTGTGGATTTTTAAGTTTTCTCAATCAGTTGCATCAATTTGTCACTGTCATTTCATCAGGTGTCATGAGATGAACATAAATCCATCATATATTTTTGGAAGTTCCTCATTGGTAATATCCTTAACATTTCTGCCCTGTGATCCAGAGGCACAGGGTAAATTACCAGCTATTATCAATTCACATAGCCTTTCTCGTGCACTTGCATCATTTCATCACACAAATGAAGCACATGCTAGGTTCCTTGATCATGAAAAAGGGTCAGGCATGTTTTAGTTGGCCTAAGCCTAGTTTATTGGTACCAGTCTTTTCATAGGTTCTATCATAAGATTGTTCAAGTGTTTTTTGCTTGTGAAAAGGGGAGAAATGATTCACTTATGCTTTGGCATGTTCTAGGGTTTTATGACAAAGGTCTGCCAAGGATAGAGGCTCTCATCACTATCAGTGACTTCATTAGTTGAAGTGTGTGTGCATTAAGATGGGTGACCGATACAATATCTTGAGCCAGTTGGAACATTTGCAGTCAAAGTACATGGGAACTGGTCATGCAGATACCACCAAGTTTGAGTGGCTTACTCATCAGCACAGGGACACTTATGCTTCTTACATGGGACACTTTGACATGCTGAATTACATTGCAATCTGTGAGAATGAGTCCAAGGCTCGGGTTAGATTCAATCTCATGGAGAAGATGCTTCAACCATGTGGACCTCCTCCTGAGAAACCAGAAGATTGAAGAAATCAACAACTCTTCTCATGTTTTTTTTTGTTTATTCTGAATGAATGGATAAATAGGTGATTGAGCTGTCTTTTGTCACTTTTGATAGTAATGCTGAAGATATGATGAGCAGATTGAAGCACTTAAAGCATGATCCCACATTCCCATTTGATTCACCAGGTTCCTATTCTTGGGAATTGGCTGTTTCAATGGAAAGCTAGCCTGGGTTTTTTGTAGAAGTCTAGTTGCAAATGTTTTTATTCAGTTAGAGGAGAGAATGAGTTATCCCAGAACCAGAGGGAGTGATCAGAATTCAATGTTCTTTATAAGCTCTAGCAATTCTGCCTCATTCATTCATTTGGTTCAGAACCAGGTCATCATAGAATCAGTGTGATCCACAGGTGATGTAGCAATGACATGATGCTTTTAATTCCTTTGACTTTGAAAAGTTGGCCATATCTGGAGTCATTCCAGATGTAGGACCTCCAGAAAATGAGGTCCCTTTGCCTGAGTTGTGTAATACCTAAGTTCCTTATCCTAGACTGTCACCATGATGGTATTTTGAAACTTATGAGTAAAATCATGGTATATGACAACTCTTCCATCATTTGGCAATTTCAGTCTCTTTCTGCCTCATGTATATCTAGGAAAATAATTATTCTTCCTGTGCAGTCCTGAGAAATTTGGAAGTTATCATTTTGATTATTTTACATGGTCTGCTTGCATATTGTTCCTCTCTAAAGCCTTGTTTTGCTTGTAACCTGTGAGTGGATTGCTTTGAAAGATGAGTAAAGTTATAATTTAAAAGTGTGCCATATAATTGATGCCACAACAGGATGGTTTCATTTGTGCATAGGCATGATAAGACAGGTTGCTCTGAGTCACTTCAAGCTGAATTTTGCCATCCAGAATGTAGACAGTGACTAATGACCAATATTCGTTTTTCTTTTTGTGAGAGTTGGTATGTTCTTTGATAATATACCTGTAGAAGATAATAAAGAGAAAGAGGTCAAGCATAAATTCAATCTGAGAAAGGTTCCTGTGATCATTCTTGATTAAATGAGTTGAAGGTGACAAGAGGGTGATTCCTTTTCTACCATTCACATCATCCATGCAAGGCTGCTCTTGATATTTCATTGCAGAAAATAATCCTTCCCCTAGGCCTTTTGAGCCTGTAATAGTGGGCTGTCTTTCATGATTCATTGAATTTAATTGATATTGTTTTGATTTCTCATAACCTGTGGGTTAAGGTAGACTTCTGCCAATAGCTTTCTTTCGTCCCTTTATTCTCCCACAAGGGAGACACTAGCGATGCTAATAGAAGTCATGGTAAATAAAGGTAACACTCACTGTACCTGACAACCTTCATTACACTTCTTGAAATTGCCTTCATGATATGTGTGGTTATAAATTCTTCAGGATGCTAGGTGCAATGCAGCGGATGTTAATCCTCCGAACAGATGTCTTGACTGTTTCCATCATACCTATGGCCAGGTATGCCAAGGCTGCTGCTGGTGTTTCAGGTCAGTTGAAACTTTCAGTGAGGGCTATTGGTCTTAAGCCATTGGTGGTGTGCAACTGTTCTTATGCATTTTTTTACATTTATTACCAGGTGAATCTTCAAAGACCTTGAAAACCTCAGTTGAGTATATTGGAATAATATTTGCACATCAAATAGTAGCAAATAGTCAGTTATCAAAGCTTTGTTGACTGACTAAGAAGTTCAACCTGATTATGGCCTGACATTCAAAAGAATTGGTTGAGTAATATATGTTTTAGTTGCTTTTTAGTTTCCTTAGCACAAGTTGCTATTAAATCTCTTGGTATGTTTTCTACCATTCAGCCTCATTTTTAGTTTTTTTTTTTACAGTTTAGGATGAGTGTAATTGAAAAGAAATTCATCAATTCCCCTAGGTAAGATCTACCAAGAGGTGAAGGATATGGAAGTAGGCCTTGTTGAAAATTCTGTTGGGTTCAATTTTGAATACCTTCTAAAATAATTAATTTAATTGTGATGGCAATTAATGATGGTTGCAATTGTCTGGCATAGCAAAGAGTGAGTATCCTTGTCTTTGACATGCTTGTTGAAGCAGTGATGGGACTTGGGAAGAAAGGGAAAGGGAAGGCAGGTGGCACAATGGAGAAGAAGACTTTGCCTGTAGAAACTGATCCAGTGAAGCTTTGTACACATGTTTGTGGAAGCAATATCTACAAGGAAGGGGAGGATGTGAAACTGAAGCCTGACTCAGAATATCCATCATGGTTGTGGCAACTTCGTCTTGGTCAGTCAAGAACAATTCACCAAAGTTTTTTGTTATTCTGCTTTTGGCTACTCAACATTTTGGATGATTGAAGAATCACAGTGTGAAGACATTGTGATTCTGGTGTCATTACAATTTAGCCTGAAAAGCTTAATATAATCTATGATTACGTACTGTCCATATTGAAGAATGTTACCAGTGATGATTATTTTTTGTGATCATTTGTTGAAAAATTGTATAATTCAATCAATTTAATCAGACAACAACCCAACCAAAACAGTTCATACCAAGAACTCCTGTTTTGTTGACATCAATGTGACATTCATAATTTTTATTTCCATTTTTCTCCACATCTACATTTTCCCTCAAATTGCATGACTTCTTATTTTCTTTGTCATTCATAACTTCTTATCCATTATATTTTTTAATTGGACTCTGTCTAATGCCCCATACTCAAATGGAACACTGAGTGCTTGAAGGAACACCTAGATGTTCAAGCAATGTTTTACATCAATGCCAACTGACTTAAATGGACATGCTTTGTGAATGTGTCTCAGTCTAATATATAGCACATGGTGTTACGTATGTACAAAAATTTATGTTGCACTTCATTAGGGACATGTGCTAGGCAAATGCAGATGGCATAAGAAAAGAATGCCTGGTGATGATGAGTTTTGTCAGCATTGGTTTATATCCAGATATACTCCTCTTCCAGAATGGATTAGCATATTCTTACCAATTAAGAATAGTATTTCAGAATATCCCTCCTCTATTCAGCTTCTGTTGATTCTGTGACTACCAGTTTTCTTTCACTGCCATATAATACTGTACTTACGTCTTATTATCTTACTCATTTTGAATTATGTAGACCAGGGGTACTCAAAGTGTGGCCCACAGGCCACATCCAGCACACTGTGCCTTAGAGAACATCCACTTTGAGTACCCCTGATGTAGACCAACTTCAATGGAATAGAAAATGTATGATTCTTGCAAATTAATAGTTCCTTAGCATGAAAAAAACTAATAATATTAAATGTTCAATGAATCTTCTTAGTTTTATGTTTCTTGCTCAGTGCACAGGATTGACCAAATAATTAAAATTCACCTGACATGCTGAGAAACTAAGAGCTTTGGTGTTTGCTAGATTTTAAAAATACTATTGCAGCCTACTCATAAATCCTTCCATTAATTTCCTCCCCTCATTCTCTTCCATGGCTGAATTTCTTTATTATTTTGTGTTCATGTATAGGTCCTCCCCCTCCACTGGAAGAACTGGACCCAGAGACACTCTACTATTGGCTGCGGGTAAATAAACTTGCCTTACGGAGAAGAAATCAACTCTCTGCAGCCAGAAGACTCAAGTGATAGTTTCAAAATTTGTGCTAATGCACTCAGAATTTTTTGCAAATCAACACATCCTCTAAGGAATAGAATCTGCAGCATGATGGACAGTCAATGAGTCATTTATCATGGCTCAGGCTTATCAAGAAAAACAGTTTCTGTGCTGGTTCTTGGACCTGCAAGATCCTGGGATGTGGCATTACAAGCAGTAACAGTAAACTTTAGGTTGAATGCAATAGTGACCTTTTTGTTGAAAATATCATCACCTTCTGCCACTGATTTTCTTGACATAATTTCTTTGTTCCATTTCTCAGCAATATTACTCCAGGATACAACTGCTGACTACATCCAGCAAGTAATTGAAAGAATCTGAAGCACATGACACAAGTCCCTCCTGCAAATAATTTTTATTATCCATTGCATATCATGTTGTGTTCATTGTGAAAGTTAAGTGAAAAGAACACTTTGCTGTACTTGAAGTGTTTATTATTATGTGGCATTAGTGATTTATTACTATCATGGTGGCAGAGTGGATTATTTCTCAGTACTTGGATTCAGGAAGTCTCCCATACTGTGACAGTAAAAATTTGTCTAATAATGCACATCTGCAGAATTGAAGGTTTGTACTGCTAAAAGCTGATTATCCCTTTTCCTTACTCTCCTATTTTTTTTCCATCACCCCTTCATACCTTGAAGCCCATCCTGTGCCTGTAATGCAAAAGCACTTTGATAAATACATTTTCCTTGATTTCATTTAAATTTGCCACATAGAAATGGTTTTTCTAATACTTATTGAAAACAAAAGTTAAACAAGTTTATTTTTATCGATCTCATTATTATCAATACAATTGTAATATAATTTATAAATAATGAAACAGATTTAATTGAATAAATATGCAAGAACCCATCAAACCTACCAATACTTCACCATGTTGACAATCTGAAGTGGTCTTTATTATGTCTAGGCTCCTCTTGCCATCTCACCCCTATACAGCAACATCTCTTTTCCAGTGATGCAGTTGTTTTGGTGTCATTGCTGAATATTCCATGTTTTCATTTTTGATCAGCCCTGATTGTGACTCCTCAAGATTTGAAACATTTTTGATGGAGGGTCTCTCAGAGCTGAGAATGTCCTCATGCTCAAAGCTGTGGCTTTCTTCATGTGGAGAAATTACTTTAATTGTCCTTTAATTATCTCCAAATTTTCATGAAAATTTTGCTTTGTCTTGCATCAAAAAATCCAATAATCCACACATTGCTGTCACCTATCTTTTCTGTACAGGTTTCTTAATAGCACAGTCTCTTTAGTCATGATGGCAGAACAAGATGATCTCTTTGATGATGATAAACTGAGGCAAGAAGACAGCCCTGATGAATTGTTTGCCTCTGCTGTCCAGGTGACTTGGTTTTTTTAATCTTTGCTCTTTTAATGGGAGAAAGTCACTCATAAACAATCCTGGCACATAAAAATGTGAAACAAGTCAAACTGTAAAGTCATAAACAATTTTCACACAGTAATCTGTGGTCTTTTGCTACTGCAGGTTTTTGGATTCAGTTCCATGTTTATCTTGATGGAAAAGTCCCTTCAATATTCCTGAGCTGTTAATGTTGTCAAAAGTAACTCATGTTTCCCAAGTTCTCACAAGTTTTTAAATCATTAATGGGGTACCCTAAAAAAGAAAGAGATAGAGGACAGATCCTACATATCTCCTATTGTGTTGCATATTGTATCTGTTGTTAATATTTACAGTCTCAAGCTGAGCTTCAGTCTCCAGATGATAAGACTGATGTCCCCATCTCATCATCAGACAGCCAGACTCCTCATCTTCAGGTCAGGAAATGTTACTCTTCATTCTTATCACCATTATATATTCTTACTTTGGAGGCTTTTTTTCATGCATAAAGGGTTTTTCCATAAGAACATCACTCAAGTCAAGTACATTAAATAATCTACCCTGTTTCAATCTTATGTGTGATTTCTTATTCTTAGTTGGCTAGAATGGGAAGAAAGAGAACATTTGAAAACATTCTTTATTACTATTATTTGGGTGAAATATAGGATGAAGTGCCTCTAAATGATGACAGTGATCTGGATATCTTGCCTGCATCTGATGGGAAACCAAAACTGGAACTCTCTTATGTAAGTACCATCAAGTCATCCATTTAGAAAGCTCTGGCAGCATTCTCACTAATTTGTATGATATGTTTTATGACAAGTTACCTTAATACATAACAGTGAGGAAGTTGTTTTTATGCTTTGCAAATTCATCATATTAACAGGAGCCCCTGAAGCAGGTTGAGAAGGGACGGGAACCAGCCTCAGGAACTTCATCTGGAGTCCAACAGGTATGGTATAAGATGGTATAAGAAAAATCTCCCTTCAATATTTGGGAGAGCAGGCCATGAACCATGAAAGATTCCTTCCTAGTGCTATCTTATGAGAATCTGAAGAGCATAGTTTTCATTTCTCTAGTGTCATGATCATGGCAATATAGATGTGAATATCAAAATTTGAGATGTTTTTACAATTGCTGTTATGTATATTTAGGTAAGGCATTTAACAATGGACATTACATATTCATTAACATTTTAAACTTAATGTAAGTTTTGTAATGATAACTGGCTGAAATACTGTGATGTCTCTGAAATTTCATTAGGCCAGGGTAGAAGAGGGGGAGAAAGATGACCACTTCATTGAGGTTGTGGTAACAGAACCACAAAAGGTGGGAGAGGGGATGAGCTCATATATAATCTACAAGGTTGAGACCAAGACCAACCTCCCGTTCTTTCGTCGGAGGAGCATGAGCGTCTCTCGCCGCTTCTCTGACTTTCTTGGCCTCCATGACCGCCTTGAGGAAAAGTACCTTCATGCAGGGCGCATCATCCCACCAGCTCCTGAGAAAAGTGTAATTGGTGAGCATTTTCACATCATCATCACCCTTCACAATGTCTTTCTCAAAGTTCATGGGCCTTTTTCCCCCTTCTTTCTAACCAAATATCCTAGTACTTCATTACAAAGCTTGCAAATGATGTAGCATCGTGCATTTTTCCTCTAAGGGATGACAAAGATAAAGATGTCAAATAGTGAGACAGCCCAGCAAGGGTCATCAGCAGAGTTCTTGGAGAGGCGTCGTGCAGCCTTGGAGAGGTATCTCAATCGCACTGCTGCTCACCCAACCCTCAAGGCTGACCCTGACTTCAGGGAGTTCCTTGAAGCAGGTCAGGCATCTCCCCTCACTTTTTTCCCTTTTGTGTTGTCAATCCACATAGTATTGCATTAGGGAGACCTCTAGGAAGCATATTTGAAGCCACCCTTGATACTTGGATTCCTTATATGTAGTTCTTATAAAAGATTTGAATCAATATTTTAAACCAGATGGGCAGCTCTTCACCTGCCCAAAAAACCTTTGCCTGTGCCAAGAGTTTAAATTAGTCATGGAGAACTTTAATGTCTCTTATGACAAATGTATTGAGAGATGGGCAAGCTTAACACAACATTGTTGTAGTAAATTTTACATCTTTTCTATATTGACTGGGTGAGAGGTCCATCTGGTGATGCGATTCTGTAACAAGGGTCACTTCCATGCATGTGGGTGTGTGATTAGCAGAAGGGGAGCTGCCAAAGACTCCTTCTGCTCTGTCTGGTGCTGGGGTCCTGGGACTCTTCAAACGAGTGGGAGAAACTGTCAATAAAATCACGTACAAGATGGAGGAATCTGATCCTGTGAGTCCATTCTTCCATATGCCATATTTAATTTAGGGTCAGATAGTCTCTAATATTGTAATCATATTGGAACTGATATTGCCATGCATGGTGTCACTTTTGATTGATTAATATTGACTAATTTATTACAAATACGTTTCATATATTGACACACTCCGCTTGAGATATATGAAGTCCAATTTGGATGTACTTGGTACTGAAGCAGATGCTGAAATGGTTTTCAAAGTGTGATTGTCTGGTTGAAGCAGTAGGGTTGCTGGTTTTGTTGTAGTGGCTGATGTTCCATGCAACAAGGATTACAAGATACTTATTGCTTGCTCAAGGTTTGAATTCAGTGTTCCTTTTTGTTGTTTTTTCCCCAGTGGTTTGAAGACAAAGTCCTCCAAATTGAGAGCCTGGATTCCCAACTGAGGAAGCTCCACACATCAGTTGAAGCCTTAGCTCAATACAGGAAAGAGTTGGCTTCTAACACATCCATCTTCTCACGCTCAGCAGCTCTGCTGTCCAATTGTGAGGAGCATTCTTCACTTGCCCGTGCCTTGTCCCAGCTTTCTGAATTAGAGGAGAAGGTTAGCCATCTTCTTGGTCCTTATCAGAATCATTTCTTGAGTCATGACTTCAGCATCATGTCACAATGATAACCTGCCTGTCTCTTCCTTTATCCAGATGGAGATGATCCATTCTGAGCAAGCCAATGCTGACTTCTTCCTTCTCAGTGAACTACTTAAAGATTATATAGGCCTCATGGGAGCTGTCAAGGTGCGACATTAGTTTTTTTTTGTATTCAACAGAACAACTGTTTTTATTATGGGTGTATTAATCCAGACTTGACTGATACCTGGCCGATCTAATGCATGAGTATCAGTTCATACTGATGCCTGCATGCTTTTGCAAAATATGGCAAACAAATGAATGAGGGCACCTTTCTTGCACATGATAAGTAAAGTCTTGACCAGTTAAAATCCAGGCTCAAATTTCTGAAGACCATAGAGGGAGCTTCTAAGATTGACATATGAAGAGAGACTGAAAGAGTCATGTGTTCACCCCCTGTGAGAACTGGCCTGGAGAGAGAGACTACTTATGGCCTCCTTCCACCAATATGGAAGCAAAAGATAAACAGTATTAGCCCATAATAATTGTCATGATACATGCTGATATCCTTACCTGGTATCTGTATCAGTATTGATGCATCTCAAGTTTTTATACCTCCTACCCATGTACACGACATCCCAATGGAAGAGTTTTGAGTTGAAAAAGGATTATATTAACACCTCTAGTAATGTGTATTGTAACCTCTTGTGACAATTTCAGGAGCATCAATAACCTAGAAAGCTTGATTGATTCAAAGTTTCTGGATGTTCAGTGAACTATAACAGTTGTAATTATGGCAGATAAGCTTGGAAGACTGACAATTTGACATATAAAATTGTGACAAATATATAGAAATATTGTTAAAAAGTTGCTGCTATCCAATCCCTAGAGAATGCTTTTTTTCTGCAAAACTGCATCAGATAATTAAATTTTACCTTGGGAAAGAAAGATAGGTGATTTTCAAAGTTATGCTCCTCCATATACTTGTTGGTGAGGACTGGATAGTATAATGGCACAGTTTCTTTCAGGCGGCATTCCATGAGAGGGTGAAGACATTCCAGATGTGGCAGCATGCCCAGCAGACTTTGGTGAAGAAGAGAGAGAACAAGGCTCGAATGGAGCTGGCAGGTCGCACTGATAGAGTTGCTCAGGCCAAGGAAGAAGTTACTGAGGTCAGGTCACACATTCCACTTCTCCCTTTGTGACCTCCCACTTCTGGCATTCTGATGAGAGGAACTTCTAGATTTTTTAATTCATGAAATTGAGTGCATTTGGACAAGATAAACTGTATCCCTTTGGCATTGATAGAGCTCAGATCTCATATATATTTTGAATTAACCATGAAAGTGCTGTTGATTTTGCTGTGGAGGTAGGTGCTAAAATAAACCATCTTGAACTTATGTTTCTCCTGTCATAATTGAGGACAAAATGACAATTTTGGGAGTTACAGACTCTTATTTCTTCTAAGAAACTGAAAATTCATTATCAATTCTCATCAGATCCTTGTCTATTCTTTATTTATTCATATTTCACTTCAATATCTGATGTTGTCTTTTCCATTATCAGTGGGAGGCAAAGGTAGAAAGGTGTCAGGAAGAATTTGAAAGTATCTCAAAGACCATCAAGACAGAGATGACCCGTTTTGATGAGAACCGAGTCATGGATTTCCGCAATACCATCATTAAGTACCTGGAAACCCTACTTAGGCACCAGCAACAGGTGATTAATCAATTGCTTCCCTCTTTGTCTCTGCTAATTTTTGTCCCTCACACTTCTCAGGAATTATTCAAAATATGTGCTGGTACTGTAAAATGGTGTTAATGGAACAGTTTTGATAATTATTTACCATTTTGAAACTGTGCTGCTTTTGTAAATTTGCTTATAATTAGGAAGTGGAAATTTCTATGCCAATTTGTGCCGATATATGCTTATAAATGTGCTGGGGGAAAATGTCAAAATATATGCTTCTTAAATGGCATTTACGTTATTACAAGTGGAAATTACAGTGGAAATTCCCCTACATTTTCCTTGAATTATGGGGAGAAATGCCAATTTTAATTAAAACTGACAGTACGTGTTGATTCTGGTTTTCTGACAAAATTGATTAAATATGCTTGAATATGCAGATATATGCATTAACCCTTTGTACTCAAATTTTCAGAAGCATAGTAACCATCTCAAGTTTGAGTAATTTGCTGAAAATTCCAATGTGTACTGACCCCCATTTTCCCCCAAATTTCATGAACATTGATACTTTGCACCACACCTTCTTGGACTGGACTGGAGTGGGAGATACCAATCCTAGACAGAGTTTGACTGGACTAAAAATAGTTAATATACAGAATTGCATTAAGTACCAAAATGCTCATTTTTTGTGTTTTTTAAATGATACAAATTTATATCTCTACTTTTAACATGTGCTTCTATCCAGGTCTTATGCCTCTAGGATACAGCAAGAAAATTATGCATGTAATACATATGGTTTTCTTAAATTAAGAAAGAAAAACTCCTTCACAAACATCGTGCATGGCATGCTGTAGTAAAAGTAACCCTGACCCATCCTTATTCCCCTGCTCATATCAAGTTTCATTTAGGAAGTGATTTTTAAGTCCCAAAGTGTTTTTCCTTTAGTTTTAAAGGCTTAAACTCAAATAATTCTTACTCTGTTTGGTCCCAAGGGGTCTTGAATATCCTGTATCTATGAATCTCATGCTCCCATTATTTTTGTTTCATTCCAGATAATGAAGTATTGGGAGGCATTTCTGCCTGAAGCCAAGTCCATCATGTAGACACAGCCTTCCCCGTTTCTGTCACGAAGGACAGGAGTGTCCCTGGCACACCCGTATGTGATACCACCCTTTTTCCCATCTCTGTGCCCAGGGGATTTTGTATTAGTCCTTGTTTACCCCTTTTCCATCCAAGTTGTGTTTTATCATTATATCTGAAGTGGTTTTGAGGCAACAATTCTCCTGGCATGGGAAAGCGATGTCTTTTCAACCAATCTTACATTTTTCTTATTTCTCAGAGGACTTCTTTATATTAAAAAAAAATTCCTTGTTTGGAAGCCAATGCAAAGGAACTTGCAATATCTGCCTTGCGACCTACCATGATTAGAGAAATGAGGCTGAGTTGGCTAATGATGAAGGGAATGAATGGATGTGATTTAAGGTGCTCCCTTCTGGCTATCTTTAAATGGAATCTCGCTGAGGGTTGCGAATATCAACCCATGCACAAATCTCAATCAATTGTATTACAGCCTTACTTCATAGTTATCCTCATCTCATACCTAGCAATAAATAATATATGGAAAAATTATTTCAGCATTTATTTGGTTCCAAATTTTGAATAGCAACCCTTGAATTCACATTCACTCTGCCTCCTACTTCCACAGGGGATTTACAAACAACAAACTTGGTCTTGGTGCATGCTGATTCTTCAGGGGAATCTCAGGGTCCATTTTAAGTTCAATTACTGTTCTGTAGCCAATTGAGTTGCACTGGTCACGACTACATGAAACTTTGCCAAAAATGGGCTGAATAGAACCAAAGGACAATGTGAATACTGACTTCTGTCATCTCCATGTTGATATCTTTGAACAGGGTTCACAGTCTATGGTGAAAGTTCTTCATGGGAACCATGTTTACTTGTTTCACTGACTGAGCTGCTGCTGAATACACACCTTCAATATATATCTTTGGTGCAGCATCAGTCAGTTGACTGCAAACTGATTAATGAACCATGAGTATTCAGGGAACACTGGTTGCATGCAATCTTATCAATTTCTGGGCTCAGTGTAAGACAGCACCAAGGAAAATTTTGGAAAATTTGAATTGTTGTTACAGATTATGTATCAGAGCTATCATGTTTCATATGGAATCAAATAATTTTCTGTCTCATTGCAAAAGTGGCCTCATTCTTTTATCCTACCGGTGCAAGTCAATGGAAATGTCACACTTGACTTGATGTATCCATAGACTGGCATACATGGACTCAGTCATATATGATTGAGTTCAATTCTCTCAAAATGGAATGCAGTAGCTTAGCACTGTCTCCTGAGCTATTTATTTGCTACACAAGACAAGTATAGAACTGTGGAGACTTTCAAAAAGCTGAAAATATGCTGAAAACTGAAATGGAAAAAGCTGTTGAAAATATTAAAAAATCTGGATTTTTACTAGCTTCTGCATGAAGGTTTTTCCAGTTTGATATGGTTCCTTTCCCTTGAATAAAATTATCAGCATTAAGAGTTTAACATCTCTACCATCATCAGAGGATTCAAAATTTACATTGTGAGGGAATGAATGGTTTGACTGTGTAAGATCATTAAATTTTAGCGAACAAGTTAAAGTTAATTCAAGCCATGAAGCCATCTCATCGGGGTCAAAGAGAAAGGGAAATACTTGGAGGTTTCAATCATGCCATTGGGAATAGATGTCTATCCTTCCACTATTAATTCTTAAGTTTGCTATTATTTTCACAAGCTTGTTGGTGTTAGATAATGTTTTGTTGTGCTTGATATCATTCCAGTGAATGTATTTTGTGGATTGGAATGCTGCTTATCCTTGCCGATGTATTCCTCCTGCCAGAGCAATGAATAAACATGAATGGAAAATGTTGAACTGAAACCAAGATGGATTTTACTCTTTGGGGTATCTCTTTAACTTTTCTGTGATACTTTTCTTGGCTCAGTCAGGGAATCTGATGCTGGTGGATTGGTGTTACACATGTTCATATTCAAGTTTGATCAACTATGATTGTGAAACTAGTGTAATTTGAATGTTGGCTAGACAACCATTGTAACTATTAATCAGGGACTCAGTCACTCCAAGGTGTCAAATGCACCATTCCATTCCAACAAAAAGTTACATACTTTTTCTGTGATACAGGTTTGAAGACAATGCAGAACACTGCATTTAGTAGACTCTTTGAACCTCTCTAAGTAAAAATCAAAGAATGATCAGAAAGTAACTTGAACAGAACTGCCATTACTATGCAACCAAAAGTTTGAGTCAAATTATTGATTGCTTTTAGGGACAATTGGTTTTTATGCTTAGCATCTGCCAGCAAGTGAAACATCTCAGAAGCATTCTGCATTGTTGAGTGATGAATGAGATACCTTACTTCATTCTGAGAGGGTTGCCTTGCATATACCACTTCAGCTTCATTTGAAATGTCAACATTCCTACACCACTTCAACTTCAGCAGAAAACAAAACAGAAGGGCAAAAAACTGGCCTCCTTTAAAAAGTTGGAATTTAAAACTTTGGATCCAGAGGGATCGAAGCATCTATAAAAGTATCCTCTTGCTTGAATATGATCAAATGAAACTAACAAGGCTCCTGCTACTGAAGGTATATGGCACCTAATGTTGCACGTCACTCCCTGATACCACTGGAATATGCTCCCAGTACATTTCATTTGGTACCTGATCTTCTCTCAAACAACTTAGAGGAAGACATTGGAATTCCCCAACATATGCAACTAAGAAGGTGTACTCCAGGCAATTTCAGCCCAGAATTTGTGGGGAGGCTAAGTGTTTACACCAGATCAGATCTGATTTGACAGTGAAATGCTCTCTACCTGCCTTTGTAGGTTGTCTCTGACTCTAGAGGAAGTACTTGAAAGAGATTATTCAAGTGGTCTTACTGACATAATTGCAGTTGGGAATAGAACCAGTAGCATTGAAAGTACTGTAGAAAATGTTACAAATTTTCTATTCTTGTGAAGGAATTACTGCCTCGTGAAGAAGCAAGAGAAAGGCAGGAAAAAATAGTACTCACTGAAGTACTTCCATCCAGTCAAAGTGAGATTTATCAGCATGAATATTTATTCCAAGGTTTTGTGTGGACTGATTCCATGTTCAAATTGAATGCCATGTGAAAAGTATGGGGAAACCCAGAATTGCATTGAATCAATGCATTTATCCCTGACCAAATTTTACTTTGAAACATGGCTCATGCAGGAAGCAATGATACAACATCCTTCTGCTGCTGATGTTGACTCAATTAGCATTGACTTCTGCTTTGCTCCAATGCTATTGAAAATGACATTTCAATATTCAATGGTGACACAAATGTTGTGTCAACATCAGTTTTGAACTTTGAATCAATGCTGATTCACTATGGATGTGCTATTTGGGATTGTGTCAACTTCCTGCCCTTTACTCCTAGTCTACATGTGACTGGCTTTGAAAATTGATCCACATTGACAGTTGAAAGTCTTGCTTTACCAGAATTGCCCACATTGTCAAGATGTGGGTTACTTTTCATATAAGTTTTCATTCAGAGTGATTTTGAGAATGAGTTAACATCTTTTGTGTGCTATAATGTGCTTAAATTATTGGATTGGATTGGTACAGGATTTTCAGAAACTCTCCATGTCTTCATATTCTTTGCTTTCCCATTATCATGAAATGGCATATCTCTCCTTTCAGACTACTTAATATTCCAGCATTGGTAAGTCCTTTCCTTCCAAGGTGATCATTGTGTGAAAAGGAAGCATGTTCAGGTGCATCATGGAAGAAGCAGGAAGAAATGTTTGAACTGCAGCATTTAGTCATCCAGCAAAATGCTTGGTATGAGACTCCAGGTGATGCCTGTCTTTTTTTTGGTTCATTATCTTTCAATTGCCTCATTAGAAGTTGATTACAATATATGGTGATGAATTGCACAATTTTCTTGATTAATTGGGAGATTTCACCTTATGACATGAGGTCATGGAGCAGGAAGTGCAGGTCTATATTTTCTGTAGTAATTGTGACCAATTGGTTGTATGCATTGATACTGCCAAAAATTGGCCAATCCTGGGAGCAGGATTGGCCCTTTCTAATTCTAATTCTAATACTTTTATTTGGAGAGTATTGAGTTGTGTCATGCCAGGGGTTTCTGGGTTTTGAAAAATGATATGCTTATGGCTTTGAATGGGATCAACAAAGAAAGGGAAAGTTTTTACTGTTGAAGGCATATCCAGATTAAGGTCTTCCACAAGTTGTATATGGAGGAGGTCAGCAAAGTTTGCTGTCTGGTAACTGGAGAAAACTCAAGAAAACAAAGCTCTTTTATGAATGCCATTGGAGTGTCACAGACTGCCATGTTTAACCTCATCCATAAGGATGTTTGCCTAGAGAAGCAACACTAGGCATATGTTTACATATGCATGTGTTGCTTCCTAAACATGTTTAGAAGTGGATGATCAATTTCTAGAAATTCAATGAGTACTATCTGGGTGGCAAAATATAAGACATCATGACACAAGTTGTGGCATGTGTCTACCTTGATGACAGCTAAAAGTATCTTGGAATTTATTCCAGATCAGGGGGTGAGAAGTAATCTCAAGAGAGGTTGAGTGCTGTGAAAGTTTCTCCAATAGATTTTGTTGATTGCTGAATACAGCTGCAATGGTAGGCTGCACACTCAGAAGGTTGATAAGGTGAAAGCAAACTTAAATCACTACCAGGCTGATGCTTGGACTCCTCCAAGGTACCATGAGGAAGATACCAGCATTGTACAGCCAGGACTGGAAAAGGGTCTGGATGAGAAGGCATTCCTCAGCCATACCTTTCCTACATCCAGAGTTGGAATACAGAATTCACTTATACCTTATCAAGACATTCCTGTCAAGTTGCTAGATGCATCTCCCATGGAATTCTACACCTCTGGATATCTGAAACTTACACTTTGAAATTGGCATACATGCTCAAGGATTACCAAGAAATTTATTTGAAGGAGTGGGATTAACTTGACAGGACTTTGTTCATCACAAGTGCCATATCAGAAGTTCCATTCCAGTGGTAGTTGCACTGCACAATTATTGCTCAGCAACTGAGCCATCAAATTGAGCACGACTGGCAGCAGTGGAGAGACCTGTGAGACCGTATTTAAAACAGCAAAATCATCACTACTGTATAGGGTGGCCCAAAATTACCTAGTAAAATGTACCTAGTACCCCTAGGAATAAACATTAAAATACCAAATAGAGCACACTGTACAGTATTACTTCATTACATTACATTAATCTTATAATGGGGCTGATGAAGTAGCTGTAGTGTGTAGGCTTTAAGTTTAAGGACTTCATCAGCCATTGCACTAAAGAATGGAAAATGTTTGTCTCTGCTGAAAGCCAATGTTGAGATTTGATTCCTTATCATGGCTTCTGATACAAAGTATTAGTTAGCTTCTGTTATAACAGTTCTTGATCTACCAGCTCCTGGTACATGAAAAACAGAACCTGTGGTTTCAAAGTTATGTTAGATTGACTTTATTGTCTTTGGTCTTGGTGGTGGTTTGTTCCATGGTTGGGAGTCAGGAGTTGGGGTCCCCAATGCTCCAAAACAGTCATACTTGTAAGTCAATTGTATGATGCACATGCACTTTTCTGTGCTTAGTTGATAAGAACCACTGCCTCTTTCAGCTATAATCTTCAATGAACCTGAAAAGTAAATATTTTTTTTTAAGGACTCAAAAGGTGAAAGGGCACTTTTTACTAGGTAATTTTGCACCACATTGTATATATTGTTTCCAACCCAGTAGTAAAAAAAAAATAAATGGATGCTGAGGTTATCAACCAATACCAGAATATAAAAATGGAAGTTGGGCAGAAACAGGAGAACATTAGACTTTAGCCACTACTCCTGTGCACTAGCAGAAACCACTGATGATTCATACAAGTGCAGCTCTGGGTTAAAAAAGCGAACATAGAAATTCATTCAAGTAAGATTGTATTTTGAAATCTTGAACTGTTCATATTTATCCTCCCCATGGAATTTTGGCCCTTTTTTTCTCTCATGTTGGAGTCATGTGAGGCCCATCTTAACAGCAGGAAATAATGGGGACATTGAAATTCTGTTATATGGATAGAGAAGAACTTAGAGCCAATGTATACATTTCCCAGGTATGCATGGTTGTGATGAATCAGAAAAGTGAAGGAGGGAAGATGAGTTCTGTGGCTCCTCTCTCTTGTTTTTGCAGCACCTAAACTCATCTTTACTCAACTCCATGGTGTGACAAGGATCTGATGAAAGTGGATATCTTGCACATGGCATTCCACATTCAATACTCTTATTCACTATCCACAATATGAGGTGTTGTTCCCAGATCAACCCTTGCATTATTTCATGTATAGGGTGCACAGACAGGTGCACTGGGTGCCATTCATTTCATTTCCATTTTTTAAGTAATTAATTGAATTTGAAGAGAGCAAAGCATCACAAAAAATATAATTCATAATGAGGTATTTAGAGGTTTAGGGTGAAGGATGTCAAAAAGGAAGGCAACAGAGATGGAAGAAGACTCATGTAAGATCCCAAAGTCCTCTTGGCAGGGAGGGTTGTTGAGGAGCATCAAGAATCCCAAAATGAAGATCAAGGAGGATGACAAAGTAACTGTCATCAAGGACCTCTATCCCAAGGTATTTTTTCACTACTTGAGAACATATACAAAATGTAGAGTGATTCAGGAAGTCTGGTATTTAGTTAGAGGCCAGTGGAGTCTTCTGGCATGTCTCAATAATTTAGACCTGAAAGACCACATCAATGTTTTATGGAAAAATACAGCTAAAAACCTAATATCAGGTATAATGAGTATTCCCAGGCTCATGAGATGTGCAATGATCTTCTCTCAGCATGCAAAATGCATGCACTGGCCATCTAAATAGGTGAATTCAATGGGAATTTGATTAGTTTCAGTAACCCTCAGAAGTTCTGGGTGTATGAGTTCATCTCAGCATCTCAACTTAAGTCTTAGTTTGTTGAAAAAAGTTCACAGATCTAAGGGACATTGAGAAAATTGTCTGTAGTCCAAATATGGTAATTTCCAATTCAGGTATACAAGGCATTTCATTCACTTATATGATATGCTGGAAAACCCATGTAAGTATTTTCTTCAACTTCAGATGAGGAAATAATGAAACCCCACCTCCTTGTATCAGTGGATTCCACTTTATTGGGACACCTTGGTTCCAGGTCAATTTGCCCCAATATAGCAGCTGCCCCAAAAACTTACATGCAAACTTACCTTTCAATACCTTATCCATTCCATTCCTGACAAAATGCCCCTATAAACTGGCTGCCCCCTTATCCATATACCCAATAAAGCAGTATCCACTGCATATACCCCAACCATAGTCTAAGAAAAAAATATATATTAAAAGAGGTAGGAAAGAGAAGTTCATCTCTGTGTCCTGCTTGCTTTTATTGTTTTATGCCAAAATCTAATGCTTAAGGTAGCAGACCTACTTTAGAATCATCATTTTTGGGAAAAAAAAGTTTCCACAAAAATTGGATAGAATCATACTTCAACTTCTGCAGATTCGTAATATCACCATAAAAACCAGAAAATATAAACATAATGGTTAATTAGCTTAATTTGTTATCAATGTCCCTAACCTGTTGTCCCTGGCAACCATGTTTTTCTTGATTTTCTCATTACAGCTTTTTTCAGCTGACAGACACTGCTCTGAACAGCATAACTTTTCATGTAATACACCTATATCCTTCATTTTTGGCTGAGAGCTACCGTGAATGTTCCTCCAAGGAATGATAGTAGCATTTTTCATTTACCCACTCCTTTAACACTTTTTAGTACCATTGAATATGTAATTAGGTCACAAAAATCACTAAAAATGGAAAAAAAGTCACCTATTTCTTGAAAAACTGTTTCCCTCAGGACATTTATAAGGATTTGAACTACAACACTTGTCAATTCCATCAAATATATGTGAACCATCTGTGAGAAATACTGTTTGAAAAAATGTAAATTTCTTGCTCTCTGGTGGCCATAATGGACCTCATTAGCATAAATTATCTCAATGAATGCAATATTTGTCCGATTGACTTTCATATAGTCAGTTTGGTTTCTGGGTAGGAATAGAGATGGAAAAAGTTGCCTTAAAGTAGGTCTGCTACCTTAAGCCATGGAAATTTCCAGAAGTCTTAAGCACAAAAACCCATCCTTGCCCATGAAGTTAAAAGGTGGTGTTGCAAAAATCGTTACTTTTATGATTATCATTTAACATAATTATATTATTCCAAAAAAAAGCTCCCTCATGTTTCTTGAACAGGCATGCTCCTGCCTTTTTCTTGTTGATTTCTTGGAATTCTATGTTGTAATTACCACACAATCTATTCCTTTGGGAAGTTGGCTCTTTTTTCTCCTTTGATGCAGTATGAGTGTACAATACATGATGACTTGCATGAGTCTTGACAAGGGAAGATGAAAAAGTCCACCCCACTCACTGCTTCTCCGGCTCAGGTTTTTTTTTGTAGATTGTGTATTAGTAATCATGTTTAGACCAGTGTGATGAATATTCATCATGGTTGCTTGTGAACTGGACATCTTTCCTTTCTTACCTAGGCAGTACACCACTACCTGGTGATTCCCAAGGAGCCAATTGTAAACCTGTTGAAACTCACAAAGGATCACCTCCACCTTCTGGAGCATATGGATGCTGTTGGGATGGAAATCACCTCACAATTCCCAAAGGAAGAATTCAGGTCTCTATGTTCCTTGACTCAAAAAATATTCCGTCACTTTCTTTCATCTACACTAATGCAGACACAGTAGCTATGAGATGTTTTCAGTGGACCAGTAGAAAGTTAAACATTTATGGCTGTTTTTCTTAAACAGAGATTCACTTCCAAAGTTTGACAAGAGCATTGAGAATTATAGATTCCATATAGACATGAACATATATTCAATTTCAACCCTGCAACCTTTTTCAGTTGTTGACATACCAGAAGTTTATATTTAAATTTGCATGTATTTTCAAAATAAGGTTGGGCTACCATGCAGTGCCATCGATGAGTCAGCTCCATCTTCATGTCATCAGCCAGGACTTCAACTCTCCATTTCTCAAGACCAAGAAGCACTGGAATTCTTTCACATCAAAATTCTTTCTTGAGAGTCAAGGTAACACCAAGAACCCTTTGCCCTCTGTCTTTTATGTAATGCTATGTCAAACACCAGACCTGATCTGACAGGTGAGTGCAAAGGGTTCACACTTATTCATTTGAGAATGGAGCTTGATAGGTTAGTATGCTGCTTAATCAATGAATAGAACAGATTTTTCACCAGCCCTGGATTATAGTGAGCAATATCCCTTAAAAAAAAAAATAATAAAAACCATGAGCAAGGTTCTAGTCTGGAAATTTCCAGAACCCAGCAGGCTCATTAGTTTACCCCCTTGGGCACATACACCAAACCCCACCCAACCTTCTCAAACCTTGAAGGTTTTTAAAACCTATTGGAGAACAAAAGGAAAGCACCCACTAGTAAAACACTATGGATGAGAGACTGATGAGCTCAGAAAAATTCACCTTTTTAAGGGAGAAACTTGCTAGTTATGTAGGATATGCGGATTATGGAAGTTCAACCTCGTCCAAGCCACACATCATGCTCGATACATCAATCATTGAAGGAATTCTAATTCCTTAGTTCCTTTAGTTTTTCTTTTCTCCTTTGTTCTAATGGAATATCATGATTTGTTTTCTTGGAACACTGGCCTTTGTAAAATTGAGTGCAGCATAGACTCACTCCAGAAACTCACTCTGTACAGCTGTTACATACAGCAGAACCTGCTCTTGAAAGGTTTAAGGGTTTGTAGATTCGGGTTGTGAGAGGGGAAGATGTGAAATCATAAGAAGGTGGATTTTGAAAGATTGAGTTTTGTGCCTGCCACTTCAGATAAACTACTCACATACAGACTTATACTCACGCTCAACTTGTTGGCCAGTCCATACTTAGGCACAGCTGAATAATTGGGATTATCTTGGCAGTTCTGTTGAGAATATGCCATGGGAGAAAGACCCTGTATTCAACAAGAAGCTGCTTCTTTTTAATTTTAAACTGAGTAGCTTGCCCACTTATATACAGGGTGGTGCAAATATCTGATTGGAAAGAAAGTTCTCGGAATTTCATGAACAATTATTACAACCCAGTTTATTTAAAAGCA